ATTACGGTATGCAGGCTGATAGTCGTTAGTGCCACAGTGAGTTGCATGGTACAACAAATTACAGTCTACAGTCCATTTCAAAACTATAGACGCGTACCTAGGCAAAAACCGTTATGCCAGCATCTATACCATATAAAATCTGTGATCACTTTGTGCATAAATTTTTCCAAATTGGGCGTCTGTTATCCAATCCTTTAGAAACTATATGAGAGTAATTGTGGAGCGATCCTGAGCAATATTCCGAAAACTATTCTCGAAAAGTTCCAGCCAAATTTGAAATATTTCAAAAACCCTACGCGTCTATAGTTTTGAAATGCACTGTAGTATCCAATAATGTGTACATGAAGTGGGGTGAAAACTGCAAAGTTGAAGGGCAAGATGTGGTATACAGCTTACAGTGTGAACCACAGAATGAACTATAATGATCACTTTACCATGACCCAGCGCTGATGCTTGGCGAATGCAATTTGCTGACGCGTCTGCCGCCTGCTGCCGTGTGATCCACCTTCATATTCGTGTCGCGCAGAGCTGCCAAGTTCATTTTTTTTCTTTTTCGGGAGATCTCCCTCCAAGGGGGGGGGGGGGGTACCCAGGTGGGAGGTCGGTAGCCCTTCAAACGACTGTGTTTTCCATCTATTTCCTAGATCCTCCGTTATACGTATACAGTACATACACTGTACTATGTGTCTTCTACTGACCAAACCACTTTTACAGGCAGAAAACAATTCCACGGTAAGCACACAAGTAATTGAAGAGCGAAAGCAAGAAAGAGAGAAAGAAAGAGAGAATGCAATCCGAGAAGAGTACAAGTATATCAAGAGAAGTAATGGATGGTTAAGGTCTTTGAGCCATTGTTATATTGTCCAGATTGGCGCATGCGTCTTCCACTACTGATCACTACTGATCTACTGATCACTACTGATCACTACTGATCACTACTGATCTACATACTATATACTGTTTACTGTTTTTCTTTCTTGTATGCTTATGCTCGCCGCAGGATCAATCTGCAGAAGGTGCGTTTGCATGCTATCTGCAGACACTTCAAGCGTTACAGCAGCAGTACAATCCTCATGGCCAGGCAGGTGCAGGCTCGGATGCTGCCCAACTAGATCCAGCTGCCATATCACAGCTGCTTCAGAGCCTGCAGACACTGAGCTCCATCACAGCCATGACACAGCAGCAAAATCTGCACCAGCGTCAGCAGCAGCAGCAGCTCGCCACACAGCATCAACAGCAGCAACAGCATGCACAATCTCTGCAGGATGAAGACCAGGAGGTTGCCCAGTCTTTTCAGGAAGGTGTTGCATCGGCTTCTCATCCTTCAGTGCCCCTTTCCTCAGAACAGGTAAGGGTGAGCAGTGAAATTGTGGTGGCAAGTGATACCCAGACCCTGCCTTCCCATCATTTAGGGCATGGATTGCTTGCATTGGCCCGGGTATACTTTTTCGTTGCGTGCAATGTGTGTGTGTGTGTGTGTGCATTCATTTCAATGTTGAAAGCAGGCAGTCGTAAAAAATACCAGTATTTTACGACTCCCTGGCTCAAAGAAGTGAATAACCTGCCCACAGATCCATATTGTTGCCATGATCTGTGGACACATGTTCCTGCGCTTGGAAACAGCAGGTTGTGATGTGGATGGTGATCGCGTGCTGCATAAGGCGTGGGTCATGTCGAATTTCTGAATTCATGGCCGACACTCACATTGTTTTGGTTACCGTGATCTCATGCTGTTGCCCTAGATGCTATGATTCCTTGTCACGTACCGGTTTTGTTCTACTGGGTGTGAGTGTGTATTCTATAACTGAGTGAAGACTCTGGAGAGTCACTGAAGACATGCAAGTGAATTTTAAAGCAAGCTATTTTCACGCACAACATGTGACCTAGTTTGGAGCTTAGGTGTATTCTTCCAGAATAGATTTTCGTGTTCCAATCATCAGTGGATAATACGGAGCTAGAGAAAATTATAATTTAGAATTTGGAGTTGAAGGTGACTAATACATGCGTTTATGTTGTCATTTTATTTCCTGTGTGCTGGTAGGAGTTCTATTCTTCATCTGCAGCGAAACCGCCCACGCCAATCTTGGATGTGGTCGGTGATGATGATTCACCAGACCGTACTACAACTGCTGTAAGTAATCTATTGCAAACCCGGAATCGTTTGCGCCTGTTTTTAGTTCGCGAATTGCGATGACCGACCATTTTGCACCTGCAAACGTTTGCGATTGGAGTCAATTTGATGATTGACTCAAGTCTACAGGTTCGCGTTTCACGCCCACTTACTTTCGCGATTTCACCCCATCGCGAAAATCGTGAACGTTTCTTTAATGGGGGTGTATAATGGTTGTGCTTCTGATGCAGAATCTCTGCTTACGATTTTATTTCTGTTCGACAAGGAAATGCGATAGGTTTCAACCTGTCTCTCTGCTTGGATGACAGCACAGCTACACCATAGCTCAGTGGTTAGAGCATTGCTGGCCTCAACCGAAGGTCCCTGAGTTGAGTGCTGGTGGTGACAGTCAATTTTTTCTTCAGACTTTTCCCGTTCGCATCTTTTCCTCACACCAAGGAGGGTTTCAAAATATGCCACTTTATATATTCGTATTGTCTTTTTGTCAATGCATCTAGTATCTCCTGTGTTTCTGTTCTCCTTTTGACTGTACCTGTATTTGTGTGAACATCATCTCATCTCTCTCAGCCGCAGTCCGCTGGTGCTCACTTTGTCCACCAAATCACGTCTTCTGCAACTCGCTCAGCGACTGCAGCCAATGCCGATACAGCTGACTTTGGGGTGAGTTACTTCACACCGTATCTAGCTGTTTGACAAAACTCCCTCTACGATATGCCAGCGCATGTATCTCTGTATCTCTCTCTCTCTCTCTCTCTCTCTCTCTCTCTCCCCCCCCCCCCACCCACCCCCACCCACCCATCCTCTAAGACAGGGATGACTCTCTCGTGAAGAGTCTCAAACGAGGGGACGAGAGTTCAAGTTGTATGCACTACTACATCATAACATAGCATCTATTGCTGACTTCCTAGTGTTAGGCGGGGAAAAGTCCACGTAAATATGACATTCACATAATTTGCCCCATCGATAAGGGTCCATTTCTGTGGCATTATTTGAATGGTGTGCAATGTGAAATGTAGAAATAGGAATCAGGTTTTATGAGCACAATGGATTTCCGAAGAGGCCTGTCAAAGGTGGCTGGCGGCTGAAAGGACTCCCACACGTCCTATAGTCCGTTCACCAAACCGGGGCCCAAAGGTTTTTCGCAGGCTCACATCATTCTTATTCAAGATCGTGATGAAAAAGCCTATTATAAAGATGAAGTGAATACGGTGAGAATTGATGAAGATCTGTGCAAAAAGTATTGTTTCAGACACGTGTCTCAGGGGCCCCGATCTGGCGAATGGACTACGGTTCTTGTGGTCCTTTGGCATAGGTGGTCACCCTATCAAAGTGGGCACTAAGCTGAGATGGCAACAATTCTAAACTGGACACACTTTCTGGTGTCCAGCAACTCTGATAGTTGTGTGCCGTATGGGTCCCCCGTTGTCTAAGAAATGTCTTGTATGGCTTGTTTCTGCCTGTAGATGTTCTCTAGTTTATCCTATAGTCCGTTCAAGAAAACATGACGTGTTGTGTCGCTGCTGCAAACACACGTGTGCACCACAATGCTCATTGTTGACTAGGGCTGTGTGATCCTGGTTCCGGCTGTATGTATCTATGATAAAACAGTAGCATGACGTATTGGTTGGCATGGCTGGCATATGGCATAGATCTGCATGACACCTTCACAACTTCACAACTTCATTCGCTGTGAGTGCATGTTGAATCCTTCTCATCCATGTACAGAAGCTCCGTAAATTATTCCCACAAGTAATCCGATATAGAGACTCTCATCAAACTTAGTAGGCCAAGCCTTTTCTCTTCAGGTGTTTTATGGCATGTTTTAACCCACGTGTAAGAGCAAGTATGTTCTACCTTTCAAAGTACCTATCTTGTCAACCTCCATGTTTAGTTTATCAATTATGTCGATTATTGATCCTTGTTTAGTACATGTGCATTATTCGATGGTATTTACGGATTATCTGCAATGCTCTTTCAAAGTGTATATTCTAGCGCTTTAATACCAGGAAGTAGGTTTTCATCACGTTGTATTTTAGTTATTGTTTCTTTGTTGTCCAGTCAGCCCGGATTTTTATGCCAGACATCCTTTCCATCCATCTTTTTAGCACTTCATCCGAGGCCTTGTGCAGTGGCCATGCATATGTGTGTGGGGGGGGGGGGGTGGTATGTGTGCGTGGTGCGTGTGTGTGTGCGTGCTCGCGCGGGTGCGTATGTGTTTGTTTTGTGTAAGTGCTTGGAGGTGCTTGCCAAACTGGAACTGCGGTCTGCTGGTTCTGACTTTCATCTGGGTGGAGCAGATGACGTCACCCCTCTCGCAGTCAGGCTGCTGCTCAAGTCACTGTGCGTGCGTTTGCACATATGGATTGTGCATGGTTTGCACATGTTTACATGCTTGTACGCGCAGGCCATGGTGTCAACATTTTTGATCCATTTTTGGTTGACACCCTTACGAGTTTTATGATCACAATGTTTGCAAGAAAAACCTGGCACTACACACACACACACACACACACACACAATATCCTGTCGATGCCAGATGCCCCGTAGCACTGTTGCGGTCAGGGAGCACGACTCCCTGGTTGTGGCCAAAGAAATCTGATCCACGTACTTGCCGAAAGCAACGCCAAGGCTCACTGATGCAGCCACTGCAGCCCTCGGATGTTTTTTTGTGGACTGTGTATGATGTGGTCATGACGTAGTTGAAATGGAAATGTGGCGCTTCTTTTGACTTCTGGGTCGGATTTCTTTGACCGCAACTGTACTTGCTGATGGTGACTGCAGGTAGAAGATGAATCACACATACCAGTACATAGTACTAATGCTACGGTCTACCGGTAGTATCTTTTATACACTACTAGGTTCTACCCCGGCTGTTGAGGCTGTGAATGATTTCATGGGGTGAGTCAGCGGAACCGCTCATGGGTGCTAAGTACGGTATACAGCGGAACAGCTTCTGGGAGCTACATGTACATGTACATGTATGTGCTAGTATGCGGCGTGAGTCGCTAGTGGCAGTGCAAGTGCAGCACTGTGCCACAACTTCGCCAAATCACATATACTGCCTGTATGCATGACATGACATATTCTGTTAAAATCGAAAACCATCGATTTTTTCCGGCCGGATGACGAGGGATACGGATAAAAGAGGACCGAATAAGTGAGGTCTGACTGTAGTAGTATTCATTGTATTGTATCTCGCCTTTTGCAGTTTTGGTGTCACAGTGCATGATGAAAAGGTATACATTATGCCAAGAGTCCATAATCATGATAATATAAAGTATAATGGTGGACTCTTGAGTCTTGATGCAAGCAACATACCGGTAGTCATTATGGTCATGATATGCTGCAGCGCTGATAAACCATGCATGCTCGAGCAACTCGTGTACAATTGTGGTAGCAGGGAGTAGTATAATACTACTCCCTGTACTGTATGGTATGATTATGATGTCATGTAGTTTTTGATCATTATTATTGTGACGTCGCGTTTGTGAAAAAAGAAGAAATGGTGCAAAAACGGCGCCAGGGTTTGAACAGGCCAGGAGCATGTTTCATGTTGTGTGAGCTTCCAACGAGCTTCCTCTCTGTTTGATTCACTGCACTGGTGACATTCTTGAAACGACAAACATATTTTTGTTGTTTGAAGTCCATCCATCCCATTTTACTTGTTTGGACGAAGCTATCATATCGGGCTGCTTTCTAGTGACGGGCTGATGGTGTTATTCGAAATGCTGCGCACCTGATAGAAGTCCATGAGAATGGTCTCTGGGTAAATTTTGTCATTTTACTCCAAGGATGAAGTATGGTAGTCAGAAGAGAGTTTATCAATTTTTTTCTCTGGGGCATGAGGGAATCTGCTCCTGGAGTGTAAACAAAGACCATGTCAGCGACATTAGACAAATGGCTGAAGCCCCATAGTAATCCCTCCTCAACTTCCACCAAACCACCTGCTCCAGATTTCGATGAGTTCGATGATGTCCAGTTATTAGAAGCTCTTCAATCTGCTGAGAATGAATGTCCTGGATTTGATCTTGAATCGGGAACACGCTGGGTGTATCCTACTAATTTGCCTGTACGTCAGTACCAGTTGGACATCACGAGGACAGCGTTATTCAGTAACACATTAGTGGCACTGCCAACTGGTCTGGGCAAGACTTTGATAGCAGCTGTTGTAATCTATAACTTTCAGAGATGGTATCCATCCAAGAAGATTTTATTCATGGCACCCACCAAGCCATTGGTTGCACAGCAGATTGATGCGTGTTGTAATATCATGCGTCTTCCAACAAGTCACTGCTGTACCGTGACAGGTATGTGCACACTTAGTTCGTGAAACCTAGTATTGCTATCCATCCTTCATCAATCAAATACTGGCCAATTATTCAAGTACAGACATAGCGACGGACAGATGCAGGCAGACATCTATCTGATGTGTGTGTGTGTGTGTGTGTGTGTCTGTATCTCTCTCTCTCTCTCTCTCTCTCTCTCTCTCTCTCTCTCTCTCTCTCTCTCTCTCTCTCTCTCTCTCTCTCTCTCTCTCTCTCTCTCTCTCTTTCTTTCTTTCTTTCTTTCTTTCTCTTTCTCCACCTCAGGATTAGTATTCATAATATATACTTTTTCTGCACAGAGACCATTACTATGAACCTATGGCATCAGTACAAGTATACAGATGGGGTTCATAGGAATGCTGCACACACCCGTAATATATTGGAACTTCAGTTCATAGTATCCAGGATATAATTTATCCTGTAGTAATATCATACCATGAGATGTGAACATACTACATGGACTATTTTTGAGTGCCCAGCCCTGCATTGTACTGCACCAGTCATTTGATGCCGGATATAGAGTACCTCGGCCAAATACATCACATATTGCAGACATCTACAGCCCTTGGAGGTATGTTATTGTGAGGGTTTACTGTAATAGCTGTGTGTGCTTAAATGGAACTGCTTACTGTGTACCTCAGGGTCGTCACTTCCCAAGCAGCGGACATCGCTGTGGAAAGAGAAGCGCATTTTCTTCCTTACACCTCAAGTAGTTCAGAATGACTTGCATCGAGGCATTTGCCCTGCTGGGGACATATGTCTGGTCGTAGTGGATGAAGCACATCGTGCTCAAGGCAGGCATTCCTATGTCGAGGTAAGGCTATTGCCTAAACACTGCTATCCAGGATGCGGGTATGCCACCCCTGCTGCAGAGCCTGGTCAAGCCAGCACCTACTCTCAGCAATTACTTGGCGTGTAAGAATGTACTTTCATTCTTACAGCTGAGTAGTCCTCCAATGTTGTGTCAAACACGTTTTCTAATATGTGACTACTTGGTATAATGTCTACATCTGCTGCTCTTGCTGCTGCTGCTGGTTCTGGTGCTGCTGCTGCTGCTCTTGCTGTTGCTGCTCTAGGTGGTACGGGAGCTGCACAAGACCAGCAAAAATATTCGTGTTCTTGGACTGAGTGCAACGCCTGGAGAAAACATGCAGGTATCATTGCTATTGCAAACTAACTAAGCTTTAACTGGTTTGAGGGAAAGAGACAAACGGGAAAAGTCTGAAGAAAAAATTGACTGTCACCACCAGGACTCGAACCAGGGACCCTCGCTTGTAGCCAGCGATGCAAGCTTTACTTCACCAATTATGGCAAATGGAAGATTTATCTAGCTCTTTCTGTTGCTGTGTTGATTGTGCGGGGGCGTTTTATCAGAGCAGAAGTCAAGTGTCTGAATCGGGATTTACTCTCTTCAAATCTCAAAAGACGTTTTCAGTCCGAAGCGTTCGTACTGCTCACTAGGAAAGCCAGTCATGCTATCATTGTCAATGTTTCATGAAATAAAGAACACTTTGTGTTTCACTACCTCTGAATTACTAGTACAACTTTATGTGCTTGTGCATGTGCATGTGCACTTGTGTGTGTATGTGTGTGTGTGTGTGTGTGTGTGTGTGTGTGTGTGTGTGTGTGTGTGTGTGTGTGTGTGTGTGTGTGTGTGTGTGTGTGTGTGTGAATGGTGCAATCCCAGCACAAGTTGCTATGGCTTCTGCCGTAGCATTGCTATCATCGCCTCCGGCGATGGGCATCAAAAGGTCAAAGGTCAAAAGGTGTGTGTGTGCGTGCGTGCGTGTGTGTGTGTGTGTGTGTGTGTGTGTGTGTGTGTGTGCTTTCAGGGCGTTCAACAAGTAGTGGAGAACCTGCTGATATCCCGTGTGGAGCTACGTACAGAGGATAGCGCCGATGTCCGACAATACGCACAAGACAGGTCCGTTGAGCAGATGAAGGTGTCACTCAATGATGAAATTGATCGAATGAAAGCAGAATACTTGAAAGTAAGCAGCTGAAAATGTGATCTTGGAGGTCCTTTTCTGGGTCGTTGGCTGTTGCTTGGTGGACTTATCCCTGTGATTTTGATGTATTCTTTTTGGCTTTGTTTTGCTTCCTCTTTACCACTCTTGCAAATCCTGTCCTGCTCTTGATGGTAACTCGATACACTGTGCTCTTGTCATTTCCGGTGCCTGTGTTCCTTGCATGGCTAGTTGTTAACCCCACTTCTTCAGCGTTTGCGATCTGATGGCAACTTGTGGATATCCAACATGGAGCAGCCGACTAATCTGCGAAACGTTCTCATTGTTGCCAAGAAGAAGTTCCAGGCCGGACGTCAGTTCAATGTGAGTATTGGCTAGCACTTTGGACGCATTTCATGGCTATGCTTGTTCATGTTTATCCTCTTTTTCACACGCTCATCTATTTTGCCGGCATTCTTCCTTTTGTACTTTTCTAGTACTGTACAACATTTGATCAGTTCAGTTCTGGTGTAGAATGAAGTATTTTCTTTTGAGTAGTGATTTAGGAGATGTAATCGCACACAGCAACAGCGTTGCTATTTTCATCTCACTCAGGCAACTATCAAGAACATTGTCTGAGTGATGAGAACTGGAGGAACAGCATTTGGGAGTTTTTCATGACACTTGACTGAGTGTTTTGAAATAAGCAACATCATTGCTTTGTGTGAGTTGATTTGGTGTTTACTTCAAGTTTATTTCTGAAGATCGATAATGCCTAAAAGCTCTAAACCTGAAATCAGTGCACGGTGTTTATTGTACTTGTACATGCAATGAAATAAAGCGTGCTTGTCAGTTGGCAAATGTCTAGTTGTATTACTGCCAATGATAGCCAAGCCGTCACTCTGTGTTTGTCTAATGGACTAGACCAGACATGTCATCCTCACTGGACCAGAACATGTGAAGAGCACTGTAATCATGATGATCGAACATTATGGTTGCAGTTCATTTGATGAGCTGTGGCTCAGTGGCATGGTTGTGTGTGTGTGTGTGTGTGTGTGTGTATGTATGTGTGTGTTTTGTTATTGTTGTTCATGTGTGCACAGCAAAATGCCGCAGCTATGAACAGCGTTGACAAGGACTACGCCATGGCACTTAGTCTTGCTCACTCCTTTGAAATCCTTCAAACACACGGCCTGTGGTGCTTGTACCAAACTCTGGTCACTGCCAGCAGCCAGCGTGCACCTCAGATGTCTGTCACCGGAATACGCCGTATCTTCTCCCAGTTGGAGAGCCACTTTTCATCTGCTGATCGATTGCCTGGCCAGCCCTCAGCCATAAGCCATCCTAAAATGGCTGTCTTGAAGGAGGTTAGTGTATGTTGTTGTGTTTAGAACTCAGTTACGTAAGAAGCATTTGGACACTGCAGTATTGACCTTACCACTTTTGCCCCAGCTACCTCTATAAATTAGTGAAAGCGATGATTCCGCTAAGGGGTACCTCCGATGGCTGACTGTAACATCCAAAAATACCTTCCGATGGCCCTGATACTACCGTACAAGTACGCTTGGCAGTCGTGTTCTTGGCAGTCATGTTACATGATGATGTACTCATAGAGCTATACATATTTATATTATGGTGTCTGGAGTAGTCATGCATATACTCAGTGGAGTGGAGACCCCGGCAAGTACATATACTCAGTGGAGTGGAGACCCCGACAAGTACATATACTCAGTGGAGTGGAGACCCCGGCAAGTACATATACTCAGTGGAGTGGAGACCCCAGCAAGTACATGTACTCAGTGGAGTGGAGACCCCGACAAGTACATAATTATACTCAGTGGAGTGGAGACCCCGACAAGTACATATACTCAGTGGAGTGGAGACCCCGACAAGTACATATACTCAGTGGAGTGGAGACCCCGACAACACTGAGAGTCACTTCATGATTCGCACAGTAGTGTCTGATCAATACCGTCTTGCTATGTCTGCCATCTGTAGCTAATCTGAGTGTTCGATCCATGTCACAAACCATCTTTTTTGTTTTGTTTTTGATGTGGTTCATTGAAATATAGGTTGTGAATGCTCACTTCCGTGAGCATGGCGAGTCTACGAGAGTAATCATCTTCTCACAGTTCCGTGTGTCCGTGGAGGAGATAGCCGCCACGCTACGTGCTACGTCGCCATTGGTGTCGATTGCTGAATTTGTTGGTCAAAGTAATTCTGGCTCCAACAGTGAAGTCACTTCGAACCAAGGCAAGGGACTGACGCAAAAAGAACAACAAAAGGTCAGTGGTGTGTCACACTTTAAAAAAAAATTCTTGCACAGGTTCTATCCCTGGCTTGGAGAGCTTCTCAATATATTCACGGCCGGAGGAAGCAATTTCATCAACAACGGTGACACTCTCTTTCTATGTTTTATCATCTAGAGATAGCCACACTGTTTCGGTTCTAGGAGACCGTGGCACATTGTGCGCCAGCTATTCCCGATCAAATTTGATTCCATTTGAAAAGCATTCAAATATGTTTCCAACTTTTAGTGCACAGTAGTGTATTTTGGAGCCCAGTGTTGTATCATGGTGCCCTTAAACCAAGAGCGTTTGACTTAGTAGTTAGCACCCTGAACATTACTAGTACATACTTGAAGTAGTACTTGATGTAGATTTTTTATTTGCCCTTCTTCCAGCAATCCCCTCTCCATGTGTTTTGGTTGCTGGTTCTCATTGATCCACAGAGGGTGGTGGCGTCCCTACGTGGTGAACGCGGACTGTGGATTTTTTCTCATTGTGTGCAGTGCGGCATGTGTGTCGGTTGCTATTTCTTATTGTGTGCAGTGCGGCATGTGTGTCGGTTACTATCTCTCTCTCTCTCTGTCTCTCTCTCTCTGTCTCTCTCTCTCTCTCTCTCTCTCTCTCTCTCTCTCTCTCTCTCTCTCTCTCTCTCTCTCTCTCTCTCTCTCTCTCTCTCTCTCTCTCTCGCTCTCTCTCTCTCTCTCTGTCGATGGGTGTGTGTTACTGTAGGTGCTAGACCATTTCCGCACGGGCCGTGTCAACACTCTCGTAGCAACATCTGTAGCAGAGGAAGGCCTGGACATCGGGTCAGTAGACCTGATCGTGTGTTTTGACGTGCAGCAATCTTCACTACGAATGGTACAGCGCATGGGACGAACTGGTCGCAAGCGAACTGGAAAGGTTGTGGTGCTGCTTGTTCCAGGGATAGAGGACAAGGTAAAGTTGAAATTGTGCTGCCTGCAAATCGTTGCCTTCACGTTATCTCACTGGTTGTATGTGACCGTGCTACTGTAGCCCATCAATGTTATCACCCTCTCATTCCATCAAGAACACATGAAAGCCACAAGGGGTTAGGAGTTCATGCTGCTCATTGTATTGCATTGTTGTCGCAAGAGCCCATAACCCAGAGTAAGCAGCTGTGCGCATGGGCTTGTGCATGGTGTGCTACCTTGAAGTACCGTCGTTATGTACATGTACCTTGCATGCCTTCGTTGGAATGCCCTTGCATGCCTTCGTTGGAATGCGATCGCGGATGTGGAATGGCAAACTTACTATGAACGTGGCCTGGGTCCTTCACCGGGGCACCATCAGAGTTGGTGTACACACTTTGCAATTTATTTGAATAAAGTCTGGCGTACGAGCAATGAGAAGGAGCAGAGTGGCGCAGCGGAAGCGTGCTGGGCCCATAACCCAGAGGTCGATGGATCGAAACCATCCTCTGCTACGTTTTTCTTCTTTTTTCATTTTTTTCTTCTTTTTTTCTTTCGTGTCATTGCATTTTTGCTTCCATTTGCACTTGATCCGCCGTCATCATTATTCTAATTTTGTTCTGCATTTGTTTTGTGCGCTTCTATGTTCTTCTGTTGATGGGTTGTGCAGTTAATGGCCAAGGCATGTGACAAGCAAAAGAAGTTGGCAAAGGAGATCTTTAACCATGCTAATCGCCTGGCTTATTATTCCTCCAGCCCGCGCATGGTGCCCTCGTCTGTTCATCCCGAGCCACTGATGATGCCTATGGACAAAGAGCAGCTATCACAGAAACCAGTGACCACGACTGCAGGCAGTGCCGGCATCACTCCTGCAAAGAAGACACCGGCGGCCAAAGAGAGGAAGCGTGGGACTGGCAAGCAGCAACGCTCCTCTCTGGCTGCATCATCAGCATCGGCAATGTCATCACCTCTATTCCAGTATGCCACATCTCAATCAGCAGCAGTAGCAGCAGCAGCAGTAGCGCTACCCTCTGATTCAGCCAGCAGTGGCAGTTTTCTCAATCACACTGGATCCATGAGCAGAAAGCATGCTGGTCCAGCGCCACTGTCTTGTGAAGAGGAGTGTGCTGTCATCGACTGTATTCATAAATTCTTCCGACCGCCTGCATTCCGCTCCCCTCGTTTGAGACAGTTAGATGGTGGTGAAGGCCAGGTCATGCAGCTACCCCAGTCAACGGCATCCTGTCTAGATGATCAGCGTCTACTGACTAGTGTGCACCGAGTGGAGCATTCCGAACGTACCCTGGCTTATGTAGAGCTTATCAATAGCTGTGATGACTTTTCCAACAGTGCATGCGAGTTACCTACTGTCTCAGATACAGCCGGCGCTGCTGCTGCTTTGGTGGATCCTATGTTGTCGCATGCAAACGATCCACTGGCAGATGATGCAGTAGGACACATGGGCGATGAGCGTTGTGACATTGCCTATGTCGATCAAGATGCAGCAGATGTTGCAGAACAGTCGGACCTTGTGCCCATCCCGCCTAGCTTATCGTCCCTGTTTGACAATCTCTCATCGCAGGCTGTGTGTAATGATCCCGTGGCGGAGTGTCGAGAGGCATTTTCACCCCATGCTGGTCCTCAGTCTCCTTTTCATGACTACGAATGGGAACATCCTGGCAACGACACAAGCAACACTAGCCAGTTTGATTGCAGACCGGTTTGGGAAACAGCGGTGGAAGATTATGGCCAAGCCATGTCACCTGTGAAGCCCTTGACTTCCTCAACACCGTGCAAAGTTGTCCTGCCACAGCGAGACATTGCTAGTTGTAGTTCTTCAACGAGGAAGAAGTCAGCCTGCCAGCGTGACTGGTCTCCTGTTTCCCATCATCCTGCATCCAAGCAGAGAATGCTGACACCATCGTTTGCTGGTAACAGCTTCAGCCCTGCCACTTACCAAGCTGCATTGGAAGGTGTTGATACTGGCCTGGCTTCTCCCATCCTGTTTGAGCATACTAGTAGCCGTACGCCTCCGAGTAGGAACCCCTCTACGGCCAGCGTTCTCTTCTCGCCAGTCAACGGTTCATGTGCTAAAAGTCTCTCAGAGCAGCGGCATCACGCACAGTGCAGATTGGATATGCCTGGTAATCCTGTCAATGCCAGTTGCACATTGCTTAGTGCTACTGCACCGCCGCCAGTACGGGCTGCAGGGGCCGCTACCACCGCCGCTGCTGCTGCTCCGGTGGATAGTAATGCTGACATGCGCTATTCGGTGAGTATGAGTGATAGTGTTGAGGATGGTGATATTGTGCAGCCAGATGACTGGACTGGACGCATGCAACGACTAGCCTCGGCTACATCTCTCAACAAGGAGCAGCAGCAGCAGCAGCAGCAGAGACAATTGGAGGAATCTAGTCGCATGCTACCTTGGCTAGATCTTGATCTCGAAGAGGATGACTCTGAAGAGATGCGCTTGATTGAAGAAGCAGAAGCAGCGACGGCTGCACCGAACCAAGGATGTGTTGGTGCAGCATTCCGACTGTCAGTAACGTCTGGACCCCACACTGACACCAGTGCAGCTGAGCGTGCAGTGGGCGGCTTCAACATGGAAGAAGACTTTTTGGTTGAGTCTCCTGGCTCTGACCCAGGACAGTTTGATGTGCCAGTATGCAGTTCTGGTGGTGTCGCAGGTGTTGCTGCTTCTAATTTGCAGTCTGTTAGCACTGACAGAGCCGATGATGGCAACAACCAAGTGGCTGTGCTCTCCTCACCTACCAGTGAGGGCTTTGACATTGACCTGACTTTTGATGAGAATCTCTTGGAAATGATAGATAGTGGTGCTTCTGTTCTTTGCCAACCACCTGAATCGAGAGTGTCTCCATCACGCCCAGAAGTAAGTTTGAAGTGTTGGTGTTTGCCAGTGAATTTCGTTTGCGATGGTCAAGTTCTCTCAACGTGTGCTTTTGATGCATAAGTACTAGTATATCAGAAGGGAGATCTCCGTTCTTTCCTTGCTTTGGTCACATCTGTTATCAGACAGAATAGGAAGGATTTTCTCCATGCTCTAGTATTCTGTGTTACTGCTTACTGGTATTCAGTATTGAGCCATCTTGTTAGAGAATGCCCTGACAATTGTTTGCCATCTGTCTCTTCTTTTCTTGAATGTTTCCCTCAACAGATGAAGGAATCTCCTAGGACGCCAGTTTGCAAAGCGAAGACCACAACAACAACATCCACAGGCTCTTCCTCTAGCAAAGCTGCCTTCACCACTAGCAGCAACATCAGCAGCCGTCACAACAGTAGCAGTGTGATCACTTCACCTTGTTTACCAAGTGCCAACGGTCAAACTGGGATCACTTCTCCGAAACTGTTCGACACTTTTGCTGACGATGCCGTCGGATCACCCGAGCCAGAGGCCGTGCTGTCAGGTGCCTCGCAGTGTTCTATGCAGTCCTCAATGTCAGACTCCTCGCCGGTAGCTGTTCTGGGCAAGCGGCGGCGATGTGCGCAGCCAGACTGGCTTGCGTCACAGCCAGCTCCTCGTCCTGTCACCACCACCTCTACGACTACTGTGACAGTAAATGGTCGTCTTCCAAACACTCTGAAACGGGCAGCACTCATTGATAGTGAGAGTGACAGTTCGGAGGAAACCAGCTTGCTGAAAGGCACACGATCTGCCATTGATGCAACAACCACTGATGAGTCGCTACTTGCCCCTGTACGGCGCAAGGCCAATATCTTGACGGACACCAGTGCCGACTTGAGCGATCTATCTCCTCCTGCTAAAGTTTCCAAGAAGTCTGACATGTCCAAGCGCGTTCGTATTCAATCAGACGGCACGGATAGTGACTTTGAAGCACCATCATCTAAGCTTCTGGCTAGAAAGAAGCCGACTGTACAGACTAACAGCAAAGTAAGCCACACTATCTGCACTGCCTACACCATCTGTCCACACATACATGTATCTGTTTTCAGCAGATTTTTTTAATCTATAGTCGGTTTCCAGTTCCTGAAGAGCGCACAAGAAATGCTGGGAGGAATGATATTTTCATGTTCACGTACTACTACGAGTATGTTTTACTAGAATGTTGGAGGAGTGCAAACTATGAAATTGTGCCCAATCTTGTTTTTATATTGAGTGTCTGTTTTGTGTGCTGGTCTGTTTGTCTCTTTATTCTTTGCCTGTCTGTTCTCTGCATGTCTCTCTGTGTCTGCCTTAGCATGTGAAGATCATTCAGCCAGCAGCAGCATCATCACGTAAGAAAGGCACCAGGGTTGCCACTCATCACTTACTGGATTGTGAGGCAGAGGTGGATGATGGCGAGGGGTGCTCATCTGATGAAGACGTCAACAACACCTACTATGATATCAATGATAGTTTCATTGATGACGGTTCTTCACAGATGCTGTCTTCACAGCCTGTAGTCGAGGAGAAGCGAAAGAAATCCTCAACGGACATGCACGCTGTTTATTTGCAATCTTTGCGCAGCCCGCAGAATGGAAATGCTTTGTTTGGTGGTCGGCGTCACGACCATGGCCGACACGGTGGTATGAAACTGCGTGTAAGTCATCGTCATCAGTTCCTGAGACAGGCTCTTGGCTACGGTGATTCAGTGTCTACTAGTGTTTCTACGGACGAAGAAGATGAAGCGGAGGAAGACAATGCGGTGCACGACATGATGTCTGCTTCTGATAATAGTGAACTGATGGATGGTGATCCGCTGGGTGATGAGGGCGATGAGGAGGAGGTGGGTTGTGACGGTGAAGACGGTGAGAGTAGCGCTGCAAGTTTCCAAGAACAAGATGCTATGGAAGAGGATGATGTGAAGGAACCTGTGCCAAGCTCAGAGAGTTCACATAGCGTGTGCCGCGTGGGCAATGCTGTAGGGCGGTATGGCTTTCGAAAGCCGTCTTCAGATGAGATAACCAAATGTAGCAATTCTACTGAGTCTGTGGAAAGGTGCACCACTATGACCAGTGATCTACGTTCACGTTCATCTTCTCTACCTCGTTCAGTTGGAGTGAAGAAAGAACCGGAGAGAGGAGGCTTTGTGGCAGCAGCAGTAAAGAAAGAACCGGAGAGTGGAGGCTTTGTTCCGTCTACTATCAACAAGCCTGGCGGTATGCGCTTGATGTCACGCCTGAATGCTCCTTCCAGTGTGGTGAAAGTAGAGAAATCAAGAGCTATGGATATGCCAGCTCCTTCAGTTGGCGCTCTGCAGCCTGGTGTGCTTGCGTCCATGTCCAATGTTGTTGGCCAGCCGAAACTTACCAGTGACAGTGGTGGGAAGTTTGTCAAGTTCCCTAAACGTCAACGACAGCAACATCAGCAGTCACCAGCCAACAGCACTGCTGCAGGATCTACTAGACTACTTGCAAGTGGCCGGAAAGGATTGAGTCTGTCAACTAGGGGCAGGGTGAGCACAATTGCGTTGTTTGTTTGAGCGTGTGTAAACTGTGTATGTACAGTGCTACACAATGAAATCCGATCGCATGAGTCAAGTTTGTGCCGTGCACCAGTGCACATCTCAGTGTTCGCAGGTCCTGGTGCTACAAAGTGCTCAGCGCATATTTGACTCATACGATCAGATTTCATTGAGCAGCACTGTATTCATGTTGGTGGGTGCCTGTGCACGTGTGCATACATGGGTGGGTGGGTGGGTGGGTGGGGGGGGGGGTGCAATGCGTGTGTTGCAGTACATGCATGTGTGACTTTTTTTTGCAAATTCTTTCTGCACTGGCTTACACAGTTTGTATGCAAACTTATGTGAGGAGTAGCAACCATAAGGAGCTCTGGTTTTCTTGCACCAAAGACATAATTATTTTCTGCTCTTTTTTCGCTTGCTTAGCAATCCAATGGTCTGGCAGGAAATGGTAGTCCTGTTGTTCCTGGCAGTGGCAGCGGCAGTGGTGGTGGCAATGGTGGCGGTGGTAATTGGCTTGATGACATCTCTATGGAGGACATTGACAGCCTAACAGCCATAGCATCGAGTAACACTAATGCTAGTGCATCTAACAAGACTGCAGTTGCTGCTTCTACTGCTGCGACTGCTGTGTTGCCTGTACCGAGTGCTGGGATCAGCAAACAAACCCCATCCCAAGAAAAAGTGACTATTCTGCGGTCTTCAGGTCAGCAATCGGCTAGTTACACTGGGGACACTGGGCCAGCGGCAGCACCTAAGGCCTATGTGACCAGTGTGTCTGGGCAACGGCCATCTGTAGGCAAGAAGCAATCCTCCGGATTAGAATGTGTTGCACTGACACCCGTTTCTGACATGGATACTTGCCGCACTGTGGACCTCACTGGAGAGCAGTCAAGTACGCCAATGTCAGGCAATAGGCAGCCAGCGATGAGGAAACAAACTACTTCTTCTGTCAGCCAACCTTCTTCAGCTTCAACAATGGGGAGCAGTACTAGCAAGGAGGTATGTTACTGGTGTAATGTACTCCCATGTCAACTTCATACAGTGCTGCTCGATGTATTCTGATCTCGTGAGTCACGTTTGGACCCAACATCATTTCACAGCGCAGTGTTCGCAGTCCAGGGCTGCATAGCACCCGATGTGTACTTGACGCACACAGTCGGATTTTATGGAGCAGCACTGTGTAAGAGTACAGTCATCGTTTGTACGTGTAACACGATGCTCCTGTGTTCTACATAGCCGACATGTGCACACTGGCTATACAACTCCTCCATGCTACAGCAGACTAACATGGAGTTACATATTGTATATTGTACACGGTTTCCCGGTGGTGCCTATGTGCATCTTGAAGATTGATTATCATCCTGTGTCATGGCGTTATCATAAGAAAGGGCTTGCAATCTACTACACTCGTATACAGTACTGGTTATTCGTGTGTATTTCCTCCACCCACAGATGACGACACCACTATGAGCACAAGCAAACCTCTGCTGCTGCAATCAATACAACATGTAATGTGCATTGGTAGTGGTATGCTTACCCGTAATGACATCATCAGGAAGGGGAAAAGCAAACACACATGCACTATTTAATTTCGTTGTTGCGTGTTCCTGTTTTCATCATGTGCAGATGGAGCCCAGGCGAGGAGCAGATCAGAATCTTCATATTCTCGTCGGCACCAACTACCCACCGTATCAGCAGGTGATGCTACTTGTAATGGTTGCATTGTGTGCACTCTCCATGTTTCCTAGGCATGTGCTTGTACCAACATGTTGTTTCTGGATGAATATGTACTGTGTGATGCATTCATGAGTGACTTTGAGACTTTGATCTTCTTACCACTTATTTTCATGTCCAGTAGGTCTGCCATTTGCTCTTTCCTTCATTGTTGTTTCTCTTTGCTGTCCTTGTTGCCACAGATACTGTCCGGTCTACGGCACCGTCATTCACACATCGTCACTTGTCACTTCTGTCAGTTGCAGCACACTGGTGTTGTTGTCAGTCAGCGGATGGTAGTGGAGTGCGTCACTTCAGCAGGTATGCCTACCATCAACAGTAGTTTGTCTACTCTTGCTACGTTCCATCTCTGTACTCGTATCCTTCCATTCAGCATTCACTTTCTGGATCAAAATGCCTCCCCCTCCCCATATTTGCCCCCAACATGTAGTTGCTGCTGCTTCTGTGGCTGTTGCTGGTTGAGAGTAGAAGAATATACTTTTGAAGATGCCTGGAAAGTTGAAGAAAGCAGTAACAGTGTTTCTGGAATAGTGGTCACTGTGCTGGGTGCAGAGCTTTCACACACATGGAAAACAAAGCCACTTAGCTAAGATTAGGTGAGTCGCAAAGAGTTTTTTTACAAGCAGTAGTTAGCATAATTTAGCCCAAACTCTGTATGCACTATGTACACTGGCACACAATGTTATGTTCCTGCTTTGTGTTTATTAGACTTGTCATCTGTGAATCGGCGACGTCAGCTCAGCCAGCGTATACAGCAGCACCGCATACACTTTGCCAGGGTCACTGTTCTTGTACAGAGCAGCAATGGCACCGACCTACTGTACGTCCCCAGCACTTGTGCAGTTTGTTTTATGCCTTGACATGTACTTGTAATATTATGCTCCATGTGAACTTTAAGTCGCGCAATGCACTGGCCAAGGCATAGTTCTGCAAAGTGTGCCACTCCATCAGTCGTATGGCACTGCACAAGCCTCCTTGAGTACGTTATCAGCTGGAAGGGATGATACTGTTGCGTATGAAGGCCAGGGTTATTTCAGTAGAAGCTGATGTTGGTGCTAGGTTTCTATTCGGATCAGGCTTGTATTCAAAGCACGTATTTCTATGTATGTCAACACTAACACCTGGCTTATATGGCACCGGTCCATCTGGAAACTCAGGCTTGTATTTGAAACAGGCTGCTACACGAGACAGGTGTTTAGCCTTTTATGCAAGACTGTAGGGTGTTCAAACTTCAAAGGTCATCAATTCTCGTCTCCCTTTTTTGTCAAGGACGCAAAAGGGTTTTGATTTGAGCCTTCCATTTAAAAAAAAGTCATAGATCAACTTGATTGCTATATCTAGGTGGCAGTGAATTTATGACTTTCTTGTTTCATTGTCACTGTAGATAACCTACCTGCTGTCCACAGAGTGCTCAATGTGTTTGATTTCTCTCAGTGTGTAGCATACATACATGTGTTTCGAGCCTCTCACTCAGTGCATAGCATAAGTTACATACATGTAGCAGGAGGGCGGTGTCCGAGTTTCGCATTTTGTAAAATTTACAATCTTGTTCTGCGAAGACAGTATACTGTAGTTCCGGATTACTGTACGTCTCAGAGCTTTTGCCCCCCCCCCCCCCCCCTACTGTTCGTGTGTCTCTCTGATAATCATACTTCGAAGTACAAGGCACCATATCTGGGTGATTGTGCTATGCCCTGTTCAATGTGCTTTGCTCAGATCAAGCGGCTGTGAGGATTTTCTCAGTGACATCATCTCGGCTTCACGGGTACTTCTCTTGTGGAGTTGCACAATCGGTAAGATTGCGACTTTGAAGTACTCGCTCTGGGGTCATGTTTGCATAACTTACTGTACATGTGATTAGTCCGGGATGCATGCATGCAGCACATACCGTTAGTATGATTATCTGTGTTCTTCGGTGAGAGCTTGATCAAGCGTTGGCTTCTTTGCAAGTTTCGCCTCACCGGAGGATAGCTTGGTCACTCTCAAGCAGTGCTGGTCCTTGTTTGCATGTGTGTTCGATAGGTACCATGGTTTGGCATCTCTCTCTTTTCTCTCTCTCTCTCTCTCTCTCTCTCTCTCTCTCTCTCTCTCTCTCTCTCTCTCTCTCTCTCTCTCTCTCTCTCTGTCTTGAGAATCAGACGAATATGACCACGGTGCCACCAATCATCTTAATCTTTGCTGAAAATTGTCTTAGGATCTTAGCTAACCGTTATAGTGTATTGACAACTGTAGTGGTACGTGTATAGGTGGTTGTGGTGGTAGACACCTTGGCCCTTAACGTACCTTACATTCCTAGTACTTGTAGCATGAACACCATGCTAAGTACTACTGCTACTAGTACTGTATTATGGTTGATGGTTGAGACCTTGCAAGTAGACCTATCTCTGTTGTTGACTTGCAGAGGACACAGTGTCAGTGTTAGTGGACTTGGCCAAGAGAGAATCTACCGATCATGACGCCTCCATTGTAGCTACTCCGCAGCGTTATCCCGGTGATAAGGTGGGTTCTGTTGTGTATTTAAAAAGCAGATTGCTTGATCATTGTAGAGCCATGCATGTGTATTACTGTATTAGCGAACTGAGTGATTATTCCTATCGAGAATACTCTTTACTCCTCATTAATTTACTGCCAGCTGTCTATAACTAATGATTAGTGAGCAGCATTGCCATGGAGCTCTGTGTGATCCAGATTTTGAGGATGTGTGTGTGTGTGTGTGTGTGTGTGTGTGTGTGCGCACTATAGATGGTCGAATTGTTATGCACAATCAGTGCAATCACGCTGACCACGGCAATGCAGATCAAGCATGTCTTTGGCAGTATAGCTAAGCTATGCGATGCAGCCAGGTATGTGCAGTTATGTTTTGATGGCTTTCAACCATGTGTGTGTGTGTGTGTGTGTGTGTGTGTGTGTGTGTGTGTGTGTGTGTGTGTGTGTGTGTATGTGTGTGTGTGTGTGTGTGTGTGTGTGTGTGTGTGTGTGTAAGACTGGTACTATTAGGAGTGGAGTGTACCAATTAGAGTTCTTAGGGTACACATGGAAGGGAGAAGTCTGGTTGAGAAACTAGCTTGCTTTATAGTACTCAGGAGAACACAGTACATGCCCACATAGCGTGTGTAGTAATGAACTTATGATATCAGAGTTTTACAAACATAAGCTTCAAGGAAGTACCCAGACAGCTGTTGTCTCCGATCCAAGATTTTGCTGAATAACGACACGAATGTATACCATTAATTAAGGCTGAAACGAATGCTCAATGAAGCGAACGAATATTCTTTTTCCGAATACGTGTGAAACGAAGAATATTCCGAATATTCTAAACCGTACAATAACCATGGATACCTAGTTGTATCCATGGTAACCATAGACCATCAACTGGTGTATACCCCAATCACAGGAGAGACATTTGAGAAGGACAATGTTATCATTTGTCTTGCTGATGACAACACATGGAAGGTGGCAATCTCACCCACCTTCTGCACCAAATAAACCTGTTCGATATCAAAAAGGCGAGTTTCTGTACATTTACAAACATTCTTATTCTACTCTAACGAAGAATATTCTTTTTCCGATCTGCACATTTCGAATATTCGAACAATTCGAATATTCCTTTCAGCCCTACCATTAATCCATTATGCAGCCTTTTTTCTTTGCAGGGTAGTGGGCCAGCTCTAAATTTGGCTGCTTGGTGGGAGTACTCAGAGTAGCCCAGAATGTAACCCAGCGAGTGTGCGGTGTACAGACTTGGGGTATGGTACAGCGAGTGTGGTGGTGTACAGACTTGGGGTATGGTACAGCGAGTGTGGTGGTGTACAGACTTGGGGTATGGTACAGCGAGTGTGGTGGTGTACAGACTTGGGGTATGGTACAGCGAGTGTGGTGGTGTACAGGCTTGGGGTATGGGACAGCGAGTCCTCTTGATCCGGCACCATCCAAATATTCTCACACGCACAATATAGCATTTGAGGTCGTCTACCAGTCCACGCCGTTTGCAATAGACGTGTTTGTGCCGTAGTGTGAGCCAGGAGATTGTATACACCTTCCTGGTGTGAACTCGTGGACTCGTACCTCGCTGATTGGTGATGGATAAGCAAACTTGCTGCACACGTATTTTGACCATTTGCTTTGGAAACGACCTGCTGGAGAAGGATTTCAAATGGTGGATAAACGCACGGCAAAGTCGACTGGTAACCATCTATTTCTTTTGAGGAACTTCTGCCAGAAATCGATCGCACCGCGCCAATGGTTGGTGGATCACAGAGGTCTGGCTGTACATACAGCAAGACGAGTGCATACTTTTCTCTGAAATCAAACTGATTGACAGCATGACGAGTGGAATAGGCATGGGGGTGCAGCTCATTTTTTTAGTCCGGCACATGTCTAAATACACATCTCTACACTTGAGCTACCATTGGCAAAGGATGGATTGTCTGGTGCAAAATTCGGGCTCAATACTGCCGTGCACTCATTGCAGTTTCTCATGCATCCACACACACATTCCTGTAGCTCTCCTGCTTGCCTGCGCCAACACCTCAACTTCATCAGCCAACGACAGGCGAAGAATCTTGCCTACTTTTTCTCCGTGCAATTCAATCCTGTGATGCTGCCACGATGAGAACATTTCCGAAAATCTTTTGAATCCTTCCGAGTGGATCAACATCTGCATCATTCCGAGTGGATCAACATCTGCATCATTCCGAGTGGATCAACATCTGCACCATTCCGAGTGGATCAACATCTGCACCATTCCAAGTGGATCAACATCTGCACCATTCCGAGTGGATCAACATCTGCTTCCAGAGGAAGTGGTGAGAACAGTAAGTAACTTTGTGCAGATAAAGATCTTCACGTCTACCAAGCACACAGCAATGCATATACAGTACTTGTACATATAGCAACATAGTCCAGTAGTGTGTCTGTCACTGTCCGTTGCCCTTTGGACGGGCTCTAGCTGTGCTGGATTTGTTGTGTCTGTCACTGTCCGTTGCCCTTTGGACGGGCTCTAGCTGTGCTGGATTTGTTGTGTCCGTCACTGTCCGTTGCCCTTTGGACAGGCTCTAGCTGTGCTGGATTTGTTGTGTTGGTCACTGTTCAGTCATTGTGTTTTTTAGGTCTTTTTCAGATATTTCATATTTCCCCGGCCTTGGTCCTGGGTCATGCGATGCACATATTGTTCTATCTTGAAGTTTATCAGCTGCAGCTACTGCTGCTATCGGTTCTTTTCTATAGCACCGACTACTGAAAATATTCAGTGGCACATCTTTCGGATTTTTTTCCTAAGTCTGCTTTTCTACTGTGCGTAGTAGTACCATTGTTCCATCTACTTGCTCCTATCATGATTGCCAGTGTCGCAATGCTGTGTGCGTTGAGAAAGGCGTCTACATCCACATAATACGCTCTAATTATTATCTCTTTGAGTTGCAGTTTCCTGCAAAGCCATGAACTCTGAGCTACTGGCATCTGACTTTCTAGAATATATTCTCTATCATCTTTTTGTCTATTTTCTTGTATCAGTGTTATTATGTAGTTGTTCAGGGAGTGCTTGGCTGGTCCACACTTTCCTAGCATAGCCACTTTTTTCTGTTGCATAATACTCTACTTGAGTGTGTGTGTGTGTGTGTGTGTGTGTGTGTGTGTGTGTGTGTGTGTGTGTGTGTGTGTGTGTGTGTGTGTGTGTGTGTGTGTGTGTGTGTGTGTGTGTGTGTGTGTGTGTGTGTGTGTGTGTGTGTGTGCGTATGTGTGTGTGTGTGTGTGTGTGTGTGTGTGCGTGCGTGTGCGTGGGTGTGTGCATGTGTGCGTGTGTGTTTGCATGTGTTTGCAATTTGCATACATGTACATGCGTACATGCATATGTGTGGCTGAAGGTTTGCCATGTGTTTTTCAAGTAGCTGAGCCTGACAGCCATTGTCTTGGCAGCATACCCCTTCACAGCCCTGTACTGTAAATCAACTAATTTTTGCTGGCGATTTTCACCAGTTGTAGTCTTCGGGGTGCTGAGTTGAATGTTCTTGGTCCGAGGAAGCTGAGACGCTCCCTTCCTCCTTTATTCTCAATCAAACTCGCCACTTCCACCGAAACTGGATGACTGCGCCCTACTAGATGGGGATTTGTATGCAAAATGTCACTAAAAGCGCCATTTCGTTCTTATAAAAGCACGGATGACCGCAATTGGCCCATACGTTGTAGCCTTTTGGACGCTGAGTCGACTGGTTTTGGTCCGAAAAGGCTGCGATGCAGCGTTCGGCCCTTATAACTAATCGAATACAGTTGAGTAAGCGGTCACGTGCTCGTGCGTACACCAGTCGCCTGGTCACCGTGCCCGCAGCCAATCACGGTCACCCGTGCTTTTTTTTATAAGGCCAAGTAAAAAAAAAAGCTAGATGATCGTCCCCGTCCGCCCCAGTTTTTGTCAGCGCCCCAAGAAATATTTTATTTTTTAAATCGTGAGTTTTTGCCGAAATCGTTGGTTTTTTACCGATCGCGGATGCAGGAAACATGTGCACGCTTTGTTTAATACTTTCTTTACTATATGGACCACATACTACTAGTATATCACAACGTCAGTATCGATCTGCTGAAGAAAGAAAAAGAAAAAAAGAAAAAAAAAGAAAAAAAGAGAAAAAAAACCTTGATGTTGTTGTGTACACTGTGTGCATGAGAGGGTAAAAAGTAAAAAAATAAAAATAAAATCCTCCCGCCCTCCCCGATTTTTCCAAAAAAAAGGACGATCATCTAGTAATTTTTTTTACTCGGCCTAAGGACGAAAATTTCGTTAATGGTGCTTTTAGTGACATTTTGCATACAAATCCCCATTTAGTAGGGCGCAATCACCCAGTTTCGGTGGAAGTGGCGAGTTCGATTGGGAATAAAGGAGGAAGGGAGCATCTCAGCTTCCTCGGGCCAAGACCATTAGACTCAGCACCCCGAAGACTTAGGTGAAAATTTGATTTTAGGGTATTATTATTAATTTTCTCGTATCCGTCCCGAATGGGACTCACGATGGCAGAATTGACTCACATGTGTGTGTGTGGGAGAGTGGGAAAAAATGTAAAAGAGAGTAGTAATAAAGGAAATTTCGCTGATTTCGCCGCTTGGTAGCAACAGGCCAAAGTAAATCGCGGCCCAGAGTTTTCAGAGGCAAATGACGCATGATTGAGGAATGGCTATATGTGAGAGCTGCGTTGGAGGTTGCGGACAATACAAAAAGACTGAAAAGTCGTGAAAATAGTGCTTTATAGTATATATCCCATACTACAGTGCTGCTTGAAGAAATCCGATCAAGTGAGTCCCCCGCCAGGCGCAGTGAGGCGCAAACTTGACCATGCTTGCCAACCCCTGGCAAACAGTTTCCTTGACACTGATGAGGTTTTCCTTGATTCTGCCCATGATTCAATTCCATGCTGCAGTGCAGCTACAGTACAGTGCATTTATTACGCTGTACACTGTACATGTATGTTCTACCCAGAGTACAGTCATGTACATGATACATGATACATTGTACTAGTACAGGTACAGGTACAGTCATGCATATTGTTAGATTGACAGCATGAAACAAGGTGGAGGACACTGTGTTCGGAAACAGTGACCTTACTCAGGGGCGTAGCACCCGCTACGACTGGTACGACCATGGCCGTACCACTTTTCGAAAAGTGTGGTCCGTCCGGAACGTGCAAAACCGTAATAAAAAAATCAGGATCCATCGATGCATATGCGCATCACCGCCATCAGACTTTGACCTTTTTCTAGACTCGTACTCGTAGATCTGCCATGCATCTGTGCATGTCCATGCACGTCTCTTCTGCCCGTGAAATAACTCTATGACTTATAAACTGTGCCAGAAGTGTGCCAGAAGTTCCCAGAACGCAGGATTTTGTGTCTATTTTACAAAATTTTCCCGGGGGAGGTCCCCGGACCCCCTCCAAAACGGGCTTCAGCCACGCCCACCTTTGGTCGTACCACTCCCAAAACCCCTCCCACGCCCCTGTTACAACCTTCCGCAGTTGGCAGAGCCCCCGTCCCTGCGGACCATCTGAACCATGTGGGTGTCGCACCCCGGTTCTGACCCTCATTATGTAGGAGACTTCTGCCCATGGCATCCTTCTCTCAGCTAGCTAGGCCTCGACCAAATATGCTAAAAAAAAGAGCATATTATGCTCGTCGCATATCAGGGAAAACGTCCATAATATGCCAAAGGCTTAGCAAGATATGCAAAAAGATATGCCAAAATATGCCAAAATATGCTCGACATAAGCAGAAAGTGTAGATCATTTCAGTAAAATTACAACCTTGGAATATTCATTGGCTTCACGGCTATCATGCCTATGGTACAAATCAAAACACATCCGGAATAGTTTGACTGGGGTGTGTCCCCAGCAACCGTAGTGATAGTGTCCATCCATGGGGAAATGTAGCAAACGCCTCAACCATTCCAAATGCATCCATAAAAGGCATTTCTGATCGCATTTTGTCCATAATATGAATGTTTTGTCCTCATTTTCTTCAAAATGAAGTAGTGGTTGCGACTTCGGCAATGATTTGTAAGAAAGGGTTTGCTCCCCACACCGGAGCTCGCGCTATTCCGCCGACTTTACTTGACACTTGACTGTCAAGTAAAGTCGGCGGAATAGCGCGAGCTCCGGTGTGGGGAGCAAACCCTTTCTTTCTTCAAAATATTTGAATTATATGCTGGCTTCATTCCAATATTCCCTTTGCCGCTCAATATGCCATAATTATGTGAACTGTCTCACAAAATATGCGGAAATATGCGCAAGCATATTTGGTCGAGGCCTACTCTCAGCTCGTCAGCTGTCAACAGGTTTTTTTTGTCATCACCATGACACTGTCGCGAGAAGGTGCTCTCTGTAGACGGGGTTGGTAAAAAGAAGTTTTTATACAAGTTGAGGTTTCAGTAGCCGCATGACCACCAGGACGACATAAGGAAAAGAGCGAAGAATACAAGGCGAACGTCAGGAGTAGTCTCCTACCCCCTAGCATAATGAGGGTCAGAACCGGGTGCGACACCCATATGGTTCAGATGGTCCGCAGGGACCGGGGCTCTGCCAACCGCGGAAGGTTGTAGTAAGGTCACTGTTTCCGAACACAGTGCCCCCCCCCCCCCCCCCACCTTGTTTCATGCTGTCAATCTAACAATATGCGTGAACTATAACAAGTTTTATCTAATACTAGTTCTGAACTAGTATTGGGTTATATAATAGGTACAGTCATGTAAATCTCTGGGGTAGGGCAATTAGGCCATGGTAAAAATTATCTTTGATTCTCAAGTACGCGCGCACCGATTTTTGGCGGCGCACCGACGATTTTTTTCTTTCTATGCATGCATATGCGCACATGAAAACGGTCAATGCGAAAGGCATGAATCAGGGAGTAGTAAAATACCGGTATTTTCTACTCCCTGGCCTGAATAATAAAATAATTATATGAACCTGTGACGTACATGTGTGACCCTATCTTTGGAAATAAAAAATTGTGGGAAATAAAATATAAAATCGCTCGCTCGCACCGATTTTCACAGGCTCATAACCTGAGAGTCAACTTTATTTTTTATCATGGCCTTAATATCAATTTTTATGTTTTAGTGAGTTGGGTCCACCATGTATACAACATGTACAGTATGTCAACATGCTCTTTGCTTACTGATTACAACTGTAGCACTAATGCCAGATCCACTCCGAGCTGATCAACTCATTTACTTAGAAAGTGGGTGTATGTACAGTCATGTACATGTACATGTACATGTATGTTCTAGTGTGTCTACCGCATGTGTTGAAAATAGGCACTACTTCGAAGTACACCTTATGTTCCAAGTCTACACGACTAGTCGACTGTAGTGTTGACTGTTGGAAGGATAATATTGCTTGAATGCCAGTACGGTATGTGCGTTGAATCCAAGCAAGGGTATGCGGCCGTGAGCAGACATTTCAAGAAAAGAAAGTGATTTGGACCGGAAAGACACTCGGCTGTAGGGCTTTTTGTGTTATACTGAGGTCTCTGTGCGCGTGGGACCAAGCGAACACTAAGGAAGAGTGTATTATAGCGAAAATTACGCTATAGCGGATTATGTTATAGCGAGGAATTTTCTACAGAAGCTGGTTCGGCAGGGACATTTGCATTTTGTACGTTATAGTGAGGTTTATGTTATAGCGGGGTCGTTATAGCGAAGTCTGACCTGTACTAGGCTGTAGTAGTCATTTTGATCTACAAAACGCTAGCCTACAGAACTTTGGAGTCTACACGTACACGTACACGCACATGCACACACACACACACACACATACACACACGCACACTGTACACACACACACACCACACACCACACACACACACACACACACACACACACACACACACACACACACTGCGCGCACAGACACACACCACACACACAGGAGTACGCACAGACACACATGCACACATTGAGACACATGACAGATCTGCAAGACTACACAACATTGACTTGATATGGCTAGGCTTTGTGCCTGTGGTGTGGAGTCCAGTGTGTAGTCTACGCGGTGGCTGTGTAGAGCTACAGCAGTACAGCTTTTTGCAGGCCCGAGCGGTTGCCGGTCATGACTGACTGTACGTACCTGTACGATCACGAGCAGAGGATTCGTCGAACTAAACCAAGAAGAAAGTCAGTTTGACATGTTTGCGGTGGATCAGCGTTCGACTGGCACTCACCTGCGTGACAGCACACCTTAGCTTCGCGATAATAGCTGCTGATTGGGATTCAGACGTTGTTCCTCTGGGAATGCAGCTCATCTTCAGATACTGCTCGTCACCTGCTATTTTTTTATCGTCCGCTTCTCGCTTGACAAGGGTCCGAGGCTGTTTCTTTTGTTGACAGGTTCTTATGTGCATGTAGATGACAGGAGTCCGAAGAAAACACGCACCTGGATCCGAGATACACTACTCCACTAACACGCATTCAGAGCCCGTAGATCCGAGCTGCGCTATTTCACTCCACTGCGTGCCAGGGCTACCCGAGGTATGGAATCGAGCATGAGTACGAGGACGAAAGTGCGGAATCGGAGCCCGACGCGCGCTAGCGCGGAGGGCTCCGATTCTAGCACTTGAGTCCGAGTACGAATGCTTTGATACCATTTCTGACATGCATTGCACGAACTACTTCGTACTACTAGTACTACTACATGTAGTACTTCACACATACCTAGTACCTACTCAAGGCACGCACACTAGACCAGACAAGGAACACAACTAGTCGCCAGTTTAGTACTTCAGACATGTTACATAATGACTAATGTACACAGTCACAACACAGAGATAAAACAAGGGCGGTCTAGTCAGCTAAAAACCAGGTCAGTTCAGCTTCTCTTCTTCGCAGTGACTACAGCCTACAGCCTACAGGTGCAGGTGAACATTGCAGTTTGCACCAAACTGAGCTCCGGAAAAGTTGATGGTCTTCGTAGCTTTCTGCATCAGAGACCGTTGGTGAGTTGGGGATTGCACTGTTGGGTCACAAGTTGCGATGTACTCATCAATGTCGGGATCGTGGAACTCAGTCTGCTGCTGTGATCGCTGAACGCTCGTTGTTGGCGCTGTAAGAGCACGGGTAGCAGCATTGGTTGCAGTTGGAGACTCTCCATCCAGAACTGCAGCCATCTCTTTTCTCTTTTGTTCTGAATTCCTGTTGGCATATGCGGTCAACGACTGGACCTGGCGATGTCCCGTCGTGGCCATGATCGCTGTCTCCGACACGCCCGCATCCACTATGCACTTAGTCTTTCATACCGGCGCTCCACTCCCGCCTAAAAAACTCCCGCCTAAAAAAAAAAAAAAAAAAAGCGGCCTCTGATGGCTGAATCGGAGCACGCCTAGGCGTGCTCCGATTCAATCGGAGCACGCCTGGGCGTGCTCCGATTGGAAAATCGGAGACCTGCAAGCGCTCACAGGTCTTCAGTGGCTGATTCAAAGCACGGCAAGTCGCGCTAGGATTCGCTGTTGCCATGTCGATTGTCATGTGACATGTCAGAAATTCACAATCACAATCATGTTTCACCAAGCTGCAACCATGGATATGGCCGCACAACCACCATACTGTACTAGTAGATCTACTCGACTGCGCGCCTCTCACGACTTTGCCAGTCTTTGGCTGTGAAAGTATTTTCTTGGTCATTCGAATGACTAATTACGCCATGCCCGGAGAATAGAAGGAGCAAGTAAACAATCCGCCTGAGTCGAGAAAGTCTCTCCCGTCACACCAGTGGAAGGGAGACCTTTAGAATAGGCTTAGCTTTCGCCAAGTCACTGTGTACTGTAGGTGCTGCTCGCAGCGTTCGCGCTACCTAAGTCCTGACCTTACTACCTACCAGTACCAATACACCTACACATCCAACTGCTTTGCTCAACCGTCAACGACTTACATCCAAGACTGTAGCGCTGTTTGTAGACCTACACTGGGTACTGAGGCGAGTGAGGGCGAGGCTGTCAGTGTCAGTAGCTACACAGACCTCTCACTCAAGTACATTTTGTGGTCAAGACCGTTTGTTGACCCTAGATTTTTTACGTACAGGTAGATCTACTAGGTAGATCCATACTACTGCCAGCACCGTGCCGGTAGATCTACTAGCTGCAAAGAAGTCACATACTGACATAGATTTACGCAACCCCAAGACCTCTCGATCTCCACTAGGGCTAGCAGGGGCCGCACTACAGTGCCACCAAGGACACCTACGGAGGCGGAGGCTCTCGGCTTGACGCCCGTTCCTGCTAGTGTTTTGTGAAGAAGTTTGTTAGTTTGAAAGAGAGACAGCGGGAAGTCTGCCGAAGCACGTGCTAGCTGGCGACTGGCTCTCAACCCCGCCGGAACATCAGCTGCAGTGATTGATTCTGGCAGACCCATCATGGTCCAAGCACAATACAAGGCTTGATTTCCAGCCAGCCACTTCTTCCGTAACGGAAAAAAGTTTTGTATCTTCACCAATGGAGGTTACGCCGCATACCTGTTTCAGGTAGTGTGTTGGTTGGTAGGTGGTGGTGCTCAGCGTCCTCGGTCGCTATTGGCAGCGCGCAGCGGACATCAGTCATCACTGCCGGTCCGGCTCGGTGTTCGCTACTTCTGCCCCTGACGGGGACGTCAAAACAAAGTCGTGTGTCTCTATTTTGCCTCCTGGCGTCAGTTTACGATGGCCGGTGTCGAGAGGATTTGGTTCAGTGTGCTAGTGGTGGTGTTGTTCACGTTTAGCCCTCGCCCTGTTTCTTGTGAGAATAGATTTTCTCAATTGACATACACGTTCACGGTGTCGGAAGACACCCCGGTGAAGACGAGTATCGGTCAAGTTGTACTCACCGATGCGTCGGGTAAAGAGCTTGCAGTCTCGGCTGCTCGCTATTCGATATCTGCGAGGGGAGTGCTGAGGTCTGTGGGACTGTTCACTGTGCGGGAGGACGGCCATGTGGTAATTGCTGCGGCTTTGGATAGAGAATCGCTGGAGCAGCACGAATACAGTCTAGTCGGCAAGTACATCACGCGCGCACACAATGTGTGGCAGAGAGCAGACTGTACTATTGTGGTGAACCTTCTTGATGTCAACGATAGTCCGCCAAAGTTTGAGAATGATGTGAGGACGGTGGGTATTCTTGAAGGTGAGCAGGTTGATAGAGCTGTCGCTGATATGGTTGTCAGTGATGCTGATCTGGGCACTAACGGTGACATCTCGTTTGCCATATTGCAAGCGTCAGTCCCAAACACATTCTACATGGATAGCAGTGAAGGCCTAGTACTAACTAGTGCTGCACTCGACAGGGAAACCATTGCCCAGTATAACATTACGATACGCGCAACGGATCATGGCACGCCAGCCTTGCACTCGGACCTTCTCTTGATTGTTGATGTCCTGGACATCAATGACCATGCCCCGGAGTTCAACCAGACTACATACAATGCATCAGTGCACGAGGACATAGCTAGTGGAACGGCCATCCTGCAGATCTTTGCAACAGATCTGGACACGGGCACAAACAGCAAGTTAGCGTACCGCTTTGCGTCCGGTAACTATGATGATGCGCTGAAGATTGACCCACAAACTGGCATGATCACAGTCGCCAAGTCCCTGGACTATGATACACTCCAAGATGGAGACGCGTACCAAGTGCAGGTGCAAGCCGTGGATGGTGGCGGTCTGAGCGCCATGGCTACAGTGATTGTGACGGTGATGAACGCTAACGACCATAGTCCAGTGTTTGATCAAGACGGCTATACATTCTTTGTGACGGAGACTGATACACCGCTCGCCCCGGTGGGAAAAGTGTATGCGACGGATTTGGACAGGGGTTTGTTTGGAAGCGTGGTGTATGATCTACCCAATGTGCGTGATCATGCCTACTTCCAACGGACTTCCAGTGATGGTATTCTACGGGCTGCAGCTCCATTGGATCACGAGCTCAGACCGCGGCATACAATGACTGTCCGCGCCTTGGACAAAGGCTCACCACCACGCACAGCACTAACAAATGTTACGATCATTGTGAATGACATAAACGATGTTGTTCCTGCCTTTCAGCAGCGCTCTTATGAAGCTAGTATTTCCGAAGACACTGCGAGAAACCGGCTAGTCACAACTGTGGAGGCTGTTGATGTGGATGGACTGCCATTGCAATATGTTATTGCGTCGGGCAATATCGGGTCTGTCTTCTCCATTAACTCAGCCGATGGGTCTATACGCGTGGCAAAGTCACTGGATGCTGACCGACCTGGAGGTGATCAGTATAATCTGGTGGTAACTGCGCACGATGGTCAGCATGCCAGCAATGTCAATGTGACCGTTGCCGTTCAGGACATCAATGACAACTCTCCGTCTTTTCAACCGACCTACTACGAGGCCAAGGTGCGTGAAGGTGACCGTGTTGGCACTCCGGTGTTGACCGTGACGGCAAGGGATCTGGACAGTGCCGACAATGGCAGAGTGACATACAGCTTGCAGTCCACTGACACTACGCTGCAGGTTGATCCAGATACTGGCCAAGTCTATATAGCAGCACCTGCAGACTGTGATCGGGGCAAGGGCATCATTCAGTATTACACCCTCTGGGCACACGACAATGGCGTGTCTTCCAGGAATGATTCGGCTCGTCTCCAACTAACTATCACGGATATCAATGACAATGCCCCAGTGTTTATAGGCCTGCCGTACAACGCTCAAGTATTTGAGAACTTGGTGCGTCGCACTCGGGTGTTTACAGTGCTCACCTCCGATGATGATTACTCCATTAACAATCGAGGTGTCCGCTTCTCATTGAACCAATCTGCTGCGAATTCTTTTCGAATTGAGCACCTCACTGGCGTAGTTCGCACTACAAGGACGTTGGATCGTGAAACACGGGACAGATATCGTATTCTTGTCTACGCACGCGATACTGGCACCCCGGCGTTGACCAGTGAGCTGTATGTTGATATTGAAGTGCTGGATGTGCCGGATAACTCACCAAGGTTCACTGCCATCGCATCCGCACGGCCACCAGCAAACTCCAGTGCCTGCTACCAAACGTATATTGTTGAGAACATGCCAGCCGGCACTCATATCATGACAGTGCATGCCACTGTACCGGATATCTCTGTTGAGCAGTCGTCAATCCGCTACAGGCTAATGAGCGTATCGCCGGATGAGCTATTTCACTTGAACTCGAGCACTGGTGAGTTAACTAGTGGTGCTGTGTTAGACCGTGACAAGGGCCAGCTGTTCTACACTGCTAGAGTGGATGCATACACGGACTTTGTGAGTGGCAGTTGTGAAATCATCATTCGCGTCCGCGACGTCAACGACAATCCGCCACAGGTCCGAGACACAGACGTGGTGGCCAACTTGCTGCGCAGCTCGTTTCAGGGCGGTGTCATAGGCCAGGTGCGCATCATAGACCCTGATATATCGCTGGTTGTGCAAACTCCGCTCAGCAGCCCGGGGTTCGACTCTGGGTTCTTTACCCTGGCTCGCGATGGCAGTATTGCTGCAACGCGCAGTGTGCTGCCCGGTGTGTACAAACTGCGGAGCAGTGCGGATGATCAGAATGCTGCGCATAGCCGTGCGGAAGGTACAACTACCGTACACGTCCGCTGGATATCGGACACCAGCCTACAGCACAGTGTGTCCATGCAGGTGTCCGGTTCTAGGGACTTGGCCGACTTTGTACAACACTACCTACTGAGGACTTCGGCGGCTATTGAACGACTACTAACTACGATGCCAGGAAGCGTGGAAATCTTCACGGTAAGGGAGACCACTGGTGCTCTAGGTGATGTTGCAGTGGACCTGATCTTTGCCGTTCGATCTCGCTCCGGTGCCTACATGGATCCGGGTATTGTGATTGAGAGTATTGATGTGCAGCAGGTTATGTTTTATCAACACAGCGGGTTAAGGATCAACTTTATCAACCTGGACACATGCCGCACAGAGCCGTGCAACTACTTTCAAGACTGTTTGGATTCCGTTCGCTTTACTGGCGAGAATACCACCATAGTAGCCGGAAACACCAGCTTTACATCGCTGCTCTCTAAGCGATCATTCTCATGTACCTGTCCGCTGGGATATCAGCACACATGGCATTCCAACAGTTGTCAGAGGGAAGTGGATGAGTGTGCTTTGTCTCCGTGTAAGTACGGTGGCAGCTGTATTGACATGCTGTCTGGGTACAAGTGCCTGTGCCTTGCAAATACCACCGGTCCAGCCTGCGAAACCTTCTGTCCGTCAGCATCATGTGATTTCTGTGAGCCTAATCCCTGTATGAACGGGGGCACTTGCACCACGACCAGCCGAGGAGAAGTCCAGTGCGTTTGTAAGGATGGATTTGACGGTCCTCAATGCCAAATGACGCTTGCCAGCTTTCTTGAAGGTGACTATGTAGCATTCCCGTCGCTGACTAGTCGCTGGCAATTGAAGCTATCCCTCTCCTTTGTGACTGCACGGAGCAATGGTCTACTCCTGTACAACGGTCGGCTGGGTACTCAGTATGACTTCCTGGCTCTGGAGCTAATCAACGGACGGCTGCAATGTCAGATATCGCTAGGCAATGGGCCCGTGAAGTTCACCACTCTGAACACCCGTGTGTTGTCCGATGCAAAGTGGCATACGGTGACGTTGGAGCTGAAAGACCTGGTGAGTGTGTTGCTAGTCCAGCACATTGTATTACTGAGTCATGCATGAAGCACAGAGTGTCATGCTCTGAAAGAATACAATGTAACAAAGTTATGTTGGTGAAAGTTGATTTGTGAGTTTTGCCAGCATTTGGTTTCTCTGTGACAATAGTGCTGCTTGCATCTTCTGATGGCTTGTTGGCAGATGTGGTTCACTTTTTAAGAGTGAACTCCATCATTGTCTGGAGCAGGCTTCAGCTCCTTTCATTGAAGTATTCTGGCTCTGCTCTTGCTTTATGCAGGCTGTCAAGATGCGCGTTGACGGTTGCTATCACGAACACAAATCGGCATCATTTCTGGATGATTTCATATGCCAGGAGATCAGAAACATCACAGAAGAAGTGAACATTGACAGGAAACGGTCAGTGCCAATTTAACGTTGTGTGATTGTAATAGATATCCTTAGCTAAAAAAACGCTAACGTAAACGCAAACCTTTCCGTACTTCGGATCGTTCAAGCTGACTTTTCCCTTAGCACAAAGTACGTTATAGTTGAGACGAAGTAGTCGTGACAACCATGGCGATATGAATTTTCGTGGAAACAGATGCGGGAAATTCAAAATTTTGAACCAGGGATTAGTTTGCTGTCGTTCCGAAAGAATACCTTGGCGAGGTCTTTTACTCTGGAATAGCAAAAGCACGGCGAACATGAGTTTTCGCTGTTCCCAGGTCCTTGGAAACCCTTTCCTAAACGCAGCACCGAAGACTGTAAGGGTTCTCCAGCTCCAGCACGTCTGGGAGAGGCCGATGAATTTCTTCCTCAGGAGTGCCGTGGAACTGGTCCTTTGTTTCCCAGATGGGATAGAGGGAGAAAGGCACGAAGCAGAGGACGCAGAAATTGTCAACTGAAAGGCAAAACTCGCCAAAAAGCTAAATGTCACAAGAGGAAGCAATCTCGATCTGCACGACGTGCTTTTTATCTCCCGCCAGTTACAAAACAACGCGAGTTTTGCATTTTTTGCAGAATTTCCATAACGAACGTCGGCCCGTTATTTTGAGCTCTGTAACGTTTTTCCGTTATCCGATAACGTCTTTTGTCACGGCTGGGAGTGAGTACCGTAAAAGTTAGCGTTATCGTACTTTTGCTAAGGATGTCTAATATTAGTGTTAATCCACCCAAGTATGCCAATGAATGCTATATGCATGCATGTATGTGTGGCACTGCTGTCGACACCGCTGATGCTTCTACTGTCGCTGCTGCTGTAGATGCCCTGCACCTGCTGCTGTCACGACCGCTGCTGCTGGCATTGCCCTTTACATGCTGAGTGGATGTCAAATGCTCACTTTTGCAGCATCTGGATGAAATTCGTGTTGTTTTTGCTTTGCAGATTTCGAATGGGCCGTTCATTAGATCTGGGAGGGCCTCTATACATCGGTGGACTGCGCAGTGCATTTAACTCCGGGCTGTCTAACCAGCACTTTGTGGGCTGTATTCGTGATATCGTTGTCAATGAGCAATACTTGGACTTCTCATCACCTATTGATCAGAGTGCTGGAGTCACTCTGAGCGCGTGTCCACCATTGTCCTCGCAGTTCTGTGATGGAGCAGTGTGTGGGAACAACGGCGTCTGCCAGAATGTCTGGAACTCCTCATATTGTGACTGTATGCCTGACTTTGGTGGCAAGCAATGTGAACATGGTGAGGGACTTCGCTTTGCAGCATGTTGTGTATACACTCTTATTTGTCTCTCGCTCTTTAGTCGGTTTCCAGCATGGTCATCGATGAATAAGCATGAAGAAAGTTTGACCGTAAACCTCAGCCACCGCCAAAGGCAATGATAGTGACACTACTGCTGACGCCATGGCAACTTGCGGTGATGCTACTGCTGAAGCCATGGTAACTTGTGCTGGGCAACAGGCACGCGGAGGAGGTGTTACAAAAGAAGGATCTACGGGCAGGACTCGAACTCAGCACCCCTGTCTTACTGGGACAGTGCCCTACTGATTAGGCTACCGGGGATCACACACAGCCGTGGCCCTTTTTTGCTTAACTGTTCCCCTCCCAACAGGCTGTGTCCTTATGTCGTACCTACTCACGGGGGAGGGGCGGGGGTACTATCTATGGGTCGTGAGTTCGAGCCATTGCCAGGCACCAATATTGCAAGAGAAGGATCCGCGGGCGGCATTCGAACCCAGCACCCCTGTCTTATCGGAACAGTGCTCTACTGATCCAGCTACCAGGGATCACACACACACGTTACGTCGTTACCCCTTCCTGCTGCGGCCGGGGGGGGGGGGGGGGGCAGAGTTGGCATTCGAGCTGCACTGATGTGTTCTGAGATGCAGTATGTATGGTTCCTGATCCACTTCTCCATGATTTTACTGGGGAAACATAGCTGCCTCTGACTTTTCATTTCAAGTTGACTATATATTCTCCTGTCTTTTTATACCTTTGTCTGTGTTTCAGCAAAAGTATACAAAGCTAAGTTCACAGGCCAGTCGTTCATTCAGTATTACCTGAGTCAACAGTTCTTCCGGGGTCGACGTGGCTTGACGTTTCGCACTCGTCAAGCTAACAGTACATTGTGGTACACCGACCACAGCACACTGGATGTAAGACACACTGCTGCTCTTGAGCTCCGGACTGATCATGTCTCATGCTGCATTGCTATATCAAGTTTGTATACGGTTTGACCCTTTCAACAGGTGTGCATTTCAGACAGAAGCCGAAAAAGTTTCAGTGGCCTAGCTATTGTATGAACAATCCCTTGTGTACATGTATGGAAGAGAATACTATTGTATAAGTTTGAATTTTGAAATGTGAGCTTGCAGTGTAAAAAAGGTTTCTTCGCCCTTTTCTCGAAAGTGAGTTTCCCGCTTGTATTAGATGGGGTATTGCATGCTAGTGCAACTTTTTTTCACCCTGCCTGCTCACATGTGCAGTATGTGCTCTGGAACAAGGATGCTTCGAACTGGTAGTACAACAACTTGAAATCTCGGGGTTAGAGCCTGCGTCCAATGATTCGATCAAAACATCCAGTAGGATGGAACCACAGTCATCCCTGCATGATCTTTCAGGTTTTGGCGACTGCTGTAGTTGATGGCGGTGCATACCCACGTGTCTAACTACATCCTACTGAGAATGTTTCTAAGTTTTAACCCAGTTTCGTTGTTGTTGTGGTTGATTGTGGCGATCTCTGCGTGCTTGCTTTTTACCATACTAATATAGTATGCCTTTGTCAATCTGATTTGTCTGTGTATTGTTCTCGCTATCCTTGTCCTCCCCGTCATTGTCATGGTTTGTTCAGGTGTTACATGGTCAGCTGGCGTACAGTTTCCTTGCTGGGTCGAAGTCCTATCACATGCGATTGGGTGATATTCAAGTTGATGATGGGCTGTGGCACCAGGTGAGATTTCCGATCACAAGGGGGGGGGGGGGGGGTATTTCTTTTCCATTTCTGTGATAATATCTTCTTACAAGGTATCAGGGAGTGCTGTATTTGGGTGTGGGGTGCTGTAAACAGTAGTTAGGTGTGCCATTACAGGAGGTTTGGAAAGAACCGTCCCAGAGCTGCCATTTCAAGCAATACGTCTTTATGAGCTCTGAGTTGTCGAGAATGTCCTTTTCACAGCCTAATAAAGGCTTGGTAGTGCTCAACTGTACATGCGAATCACGCATTCTGGTAGAACAAGACATCAGATCCCTTATCATGTGTCCAGTTGTTGAGATACTTCAACTAACTACACTTGTACATGTACGTCCATGCAGTTGCCGGTCCATGCAAATACACATACCCTTCAGTACTCCTGTCCTTTTTAGGTAACCATGGTGTTGAGAGCCAGCCAGTGATTCCGGTTGGTTTCCAGCAAGCTGAGTTGCAGTGTGTGTGCACGTGTGTGTGTGTTTGCTTGTGTGTTTCTGTGAATGTGCTTGCGTCGCATGGTGCAGGCCGTGATCGACCTGGGCGACGGCAGATCAACACGTCTGTCCCTGGATTATGGGAAATACTCTGCAATGTTACCGGTCACGGAGAGCCAAACAACATTCAACTTCGTTCTGGGTGCTGCGATTTCTTCAGCTGCAGCCACTGGTGTCAAGTCCAACTTCAAAGGTTGCATGCATTCGGCATTTCTGGGTTCTGACATGCTTTCCTTAGATCCAAGCGGCGCGACCACTGACTCAGCGGTGACGGCTAGCGCACTGCAGATTTCCTCATCTCCACAGAATATTGGCAGAGGGTGTTTGTCGGCTGCTGTGTGTGCTGCGTATCCATGCTCACGTCACGCGACTTGTATTGACGAATGGGAGCAATACAGGTTAGTCACGTGACGTATGGGAGCAGTAGTTACTACTAGGGTCTGTGAGCCGATGCACTACATGACAAGTTCTGCCACCGCCCGTAATAGCTAGTCTAGTTTTCACAGAAGTCCTGTCACCGTCATGTGGTGGAGTGGTGGTGTCATGGTGATTCAGCTCTACAAGACTTGTATGTAGTGATGTGTTAGTGGTTAGACTTGCTCTCGATCTACAACGTGGCATACTTTACTAATAAACAGGATGCAGTGAGTCTGTCAATGATGATGCGTGTATGCACGCAGGTAGTTGCCCTGTGTTCGGAAGATTGCACTCCTTTTGCGGAAAGGTGCACACCTCATCATGCTGCTGCCATCAAAATAATGCACACCTCATCATGCTGCCATCAAAATAATGTACAGCTTCTTTTACCTGTAACCTATACCGTCGTTGTACTCAATGAAATCCAGCCATATGCTAAGCCAGCCCACTGCAGTAGTACATGACCAACTGTCCGATTTATTGCTGGGGTTGGATTTCACCGAGCATGCTAGTACAGTCAACTTCGCTTATAACGGCACTCGGCGGGGCATCAAAAAGGTGTCCTTATTCGCGGAGTGTCGTTATACCCGAAGTCTCATTATATGTATTACAGTGGGATTGGACTTTGCTCTGGGCATGGACATTCTGTCGTTATTCGCGAATTGTCGTTATATCCACAGTCGTTATTAGCGAAGTTGACTGTAGCCGTGTCTTTAGTGGTATCATGTGGTCTATCTTTATCGTGTACAGATGTGAGTGCCCGCCATTCTTCAGCGGAAGGAAATGCTTGGACGTGTGCTATCAAGACCGTTGCCTACATAATGGCAAGTGTCACCACAGTGCCCACGATGTGGACAACATTACCTGTGATTGCTCTGGATCATTTCCATACAGCCGTGGCCCGAGTGGCCTGTGTGATCGTATCTTCCCAGATTCGGTGAAGTTGTCCTGTCCAACTGGTTTCTATGACTACCCCAACTGTGTGCCGTGTCGCTGTGACTGGACAGGAGCCACGGGTGCTGTGTGCACTGACACCGGTATCTGCCTGTGCAAGGTACGTAATCAAGGATGTGTGTGTGTGTGTGTGTGTGTGTGTGTGTGTGTGTCATCTGCTGGCTGCAGGTCTTATCATCTAGTCTAGCATCATGTAACGTTATTCTCAGTGGCTAGGGTCTGCTGTTTGGCAGGACGGCTCAGCGGTGATACAGTTTTGTCCCTCATTTAGCGTTGTGTACTTGCTACGAAGATTGCTCAGTTGCATTTCACCATCAACCAATGCCAATAACCTCCTTAGGATTGTTGTTCTAGCATTGTAATAGTGTATCAGTTTAGGTGCTCCAATACCCCATCGCCGACGTTGATCTGCTTTGTGGTACAGGATGGCACATTCAGCCCAGCGAATGACAAAGGCTGTCAGCCGTGCAATTGTCATGTGCATGGATCGGTAGCATCTGAATGTGACCGTTCCACAGGCCAGTGTCGGTGTAAACCATTCACAACCGGTAGACGATGTGATCAGTGCATGGATGATTATACTGGACTGGATGCCGATGGCTGTCATGGTGAGTGATTCCCATTGTCCTTCGTTTATAAGTTAGAGTTCAACTGCTGCTTATACAATACACTTGAAGTTTATGTTTTTACTGATCTTTGCGAGTGTGGCTATGCCCATGTGTGCCTTGATGAATTTCTTTATCGTGGCTTGTTTTGTTCATGTTGTCCCTGCTAAATGTATGTGTGTGTCTGTGCATAGTCTTGACCCGTGTTGTAGCTGAAGTATCATTGCTGGGACCCTCCACCAGTCAAGCATTGCGAACAGAATCACAACAAACACGGACTGAGATAGCCTACCTGGTATGTGCACAATAATACTGGTGTCATCTGTATGTGACTCGGCCGCTACACCATTCACCTAGAGTTTACTGGGTGTGGTCAACTCTGGGAGTTGGGTGGCTCTTGATGCTGTGCAAGCCTCTAGCAGTTCATCTGAGGATTCCTCCTGCCTCTGGGGGGGGCAAGCTGCTTATCATAGCAGCTTAACTTAGTTAGTGCTGGTGACACTGTCTGGGCTCTGGCAGACCTCCCATCATGTTATCTATTAGAACAATTCTACACATGAACATATGTACCAACCATTTGTCTCTCAGTTCAGGCTGTCCAGCTTTACTGAATGATCACCATGCCAAAACAGGAGACCCCATTATAGTGGGCACAAAGACAATCTTCTCCCGTATGAAATGTATGCAGATGTCTTAGTCCAAAGTTGGACTCTCCCAGTGGGCGTGGGAAGGTTGGGCAGTCTGCTCTTTGTTTTTGACTACCACTCGTGACAGGGACAGACAGACCTCTCAGTGTTGGCACTAAAGTGTCCTTTTCCTTGACAGCATCTTGGGACAGGGACAGATCTCTGCTGGTACTAAAGTGTAGTCTTTTCCTTGATACTTGACATTAGATTGGAACAAGGACAAACTGCTCAGATTACGCTCTTGGCATCTACTGCACATGATTCCAGTTTGCTGCTTAATATAATTATATGCTTCGTAAGTTAATTGTAGTATTGCTGAAGGGCACGCCTAACCTGTGTGTCAACTTACGAACAGCTTACACCTCTTCGTATGTCTTTTGGGAGGCGATTTTATTATTATTAGGCTAGGATTGTGGCGTGGGGAGTGATTGGAGAGCACTATTGAAAGCTCCAGGGGGGGGGGTGCAATGTCTGTGCTAGCTGGTGCTGGTGCTGCTCATCCTGCTGATGGTGAGTGAAGCGTCGGTGCTGGTGCTGCTTATCCTGCTGATGGTGAGTGAAGCGTCGGTAACGGTTAGCAACTCACGGTGCCTTGCTAGAAACCTTACTCCCCTTCTTTGGATCATTTCCATGTAAAAAGTGTGCAACTTTCCTTTGGCTAACCAATGACTACATGCGCATGTATGTGTTTGTGTTTTGTGCTGTGGCATCAGATTGAGCGCTTCTTTGTTGGATTCCCTGGATCTCAGCATGTCACCGTCACATCTTTGAGGTAAGTGTATAGTGTAATGGTGTGGCTTCTGCTGTGAATGCTTTTCTCTTATCACTCATTAGCAATTACCCGTCAGTCTGCCGGAGAACTGGGCGTGTGGCACTCGTTGTCTTGATATACATCTGCTGTGCTAACCTGTCACGGATTGGAAGCCGCATGTGTGTATGCTTACGTATGCATATGCCTATGCTTGTAATCTGATGTCTAGATAATATGACTCCAGTGGATTTGACATGAAGCTTGTACTTTCCTCATGTGTTAAATTAATGCGTGGATGCGTGGATGCGTGGATCCGTGGATGCGTGGATGCGTGGATCCGTATGCACATGTGTGCATTTGCTTGTAGTATTGTCCCAGGCACAGCAAAGAAGGGTGCAACGCCGCGGCTTCAAGTCAACTTTGCTGTCAGATCACATGCATACACGGGCGGTCATGAAGCCAGCATTAATGACATAATGGCTGCTCTGACAGTGGGTCTTTCACATAGCAACATGCTGGAGCAGTACAGGATAGTTCCGGGATTCCTACAATTTCAAGGTACTCAATATGGCTATGCCCATATACAACTGTTTCTACCGAATTAGGAATACACTCAGAAGTCAATGCAGGCTGGGCCTGTGTACAAGGGAATTCTAGGCTGGGCCTGTGTACAAGGGAATTCCAGGCTGGGCCTGTGTACAAGGGAATTCCAGGCTGGGCCTGTGTACAAGGGAATTCCAGGCTAGGGTTGTGAGTTATTCCACTCCCCAAAGTTATTTCAACTTATTTGCATCAGTATGCTGTACTTGACACATATCGGGTGTACTGTTATGGCCACATGACATGGTGACATGCTCCTTTCCTGAACCCCGCATTCACTGAGAAGAGGCACCGACTGCCAGAGTGTACCGTAGTGGCTTGATTGTGATAACCTCTGTTGTGAGCAGGTACAGCTGCAGCTGCTGTGAGGGATACATTGCAGTGTTGGCATGGATGTGACCGTGAATGTACGCATACTAATACTTGTACATGCATAACAGCTACTCATACAGTCAACTTCGCTAATAACGACTGCGGATATAACGACAATTCGCGAATAACGACAGAATTTCCATGCCCAGAGCAAAGTCCCATCCCACTGGAATAGACTTCGGGTATAACGACACTTCGCGAATAAGGACACCTTTTTAATGCCGCGCCGAGTGTCGTTATAAGCGAAGTTGACTGTACATTGTCTTTCAGAATGTCCCTTGTGTGTTGTGGTGTTGTCTCGGCTATCCAGCAAACTGCTCTGATCACCCATGCTACCCTGATGTACAATGTCAGCAAATCAATGCAACTGTTGTATCATGTGGCAGCTGCCCAGTTGGCTTTATTGGAGATGGAATACAATGCAGAAAGGTAGGTTATGCATTGAATTGTAATGTATACTACTAGTAACAAAATGTTTGCATTAGAATCTTGTGTTGCAGCCATTTACTTTGCCGTGTTGATCTCATATTAAGCAGAATGTCTGTCTGATTTGGTGATCGGTTAAAAGATCATTATGATACATTCACCTGCTCGCGTACTTGGCTGTGCTGCACGTCTGGACCCAACTGACTGCACGTCCCTTCGGAGCCGCTTATGTATTGGTATCAGAGTAGACGTAGCCCGGTGAAGGCAGTGATATATACACTTTGTCTGTTTGGTTGCCGGTCACTGGGTCATGGTAGTGTTAAGTAATCAGAACTGTGATCGCTGTGGACGTCACGTCGGAAATATCACCACTTCTCAAGTCTTCTTGGGCTGCAATGTACCAGTACCAGGAACACGGTCATGTAGGTGGTATTAAAGTTTTCATTCTAGTGTGTTATTCTATCTTGGCATGCTGTTTTGTTTTTACCGTTTCAGGACATGGCAGGATGCAGCAGCATCAAAAATGTATCCGAGATGCAGTACTCTTCAATAGATAAAGATTATGACGGCGTTCTGGATAGTTGTGACAACTGTCCCTGGGTATACAATCCCGATCAAAGTGCTCTTCTCTGCTCCAATGCAAAGAGTGGTAAGTTCTTAGACATGTTTACATGTACGGTGAATCATGGAAAATCTACTGTTAGAACACATTGCCGATGTTCAGAGTTGTGTTTGGGCATTGAGTTTAACTCCGCTTGCATCTCCACTTACATAACAAAAAGGTTTGACTTTGAATGCTGTAAAGAACGTTTGTTACCCCGCCTACCTACTCCACTAGGCCATGTGAGCGTTCACTCCGAATCATTGTGTGTGCATGTGTGTTCGTGTGTGTTCGTGTGTGTGTTTGTGTTTACGTGTGTGTGCATCAGCCCGTTGTCCCGCTGGCCTGGAAACCCTGCCACCTCACACTGTGGTATGGCGAACTGGAAGACCGGATCACACACTACAACAGCTGTGTCCTGGAACATCGGTCGGTATGTTCTGATTATAATGCCTGCATGTGGATGACTAGCAACTCAGAGCCTCTATTTTGTAGTTTACTTTTGGTACGCAGGGAAGTAGCGAGATGTGACCGAGGCCGGATTTCAACGATTTTTCAGGGGGTTGTCAGGGGGTTCTGGCTACCTGGTAGACAGGGATCATGCGGCTATGGTGTGAGGTACCAGCATCATTGTACATCAGAGCAGTGTTTCAATCCAAGTCTAGTAGGTCATGCTTGTATTGCAGCCTGGTTTCATGCCACTGCACATCAGTATTGTGAAGGATAGGATGCGGACTAATTCTCTTTCGTTTTTTCTTCACCGTGATGTATTGTTTGTGTGTTTCGTGTTGTGCTGACGGTTTGCTATGCCAGGCAACATGACGCGCACATGCACAGAGCATGGCTGGCAGGCATCTAACCGGAGTGCTTGCCAGTCTCTGCCCATCGCCGCTTTGATGAATGAGGTTAGGGCAATACATATCACTTACCAGTACCTAGCTGATGCCTCAGTCATGTATTGCATTCTTACATCTGAAGTGTTGAGCTTGTCACATCACGGTTACACCCGGACTACTTGCAAGTACATGAAAGCCAGAGTGTGCATCTTCTGACTTTTTCTGCATGGGTGTCCTATCCTTGAAAATTCCTAGATTGCATCATAGTTCTCAATATGCGAAGACTCCACTGTTGCCATCCACTACAGCCATACATGTTCACAACACTCCAAACGGTCTCTGGGCTACACCATTCGCTGAAAGAAAAAGATAAAATTATTCGAATTTTCGGGCAAGGCCCGTCTTCAGGAATACTCACAGTTGATGTTGATAATCGGCAGGAAGTGGCGTATTGTTTACAGCTGTGCTGCATTAATCTTGTGCAGCGGGATACTTGCTTGAGCCCTGTGTGTATGCACTGCATCACTAAAACGATGTAATCCAGGAACCTTGCCGTGACAGCAGCCTATTGGAGGTGCACTCTTGGTTACACCTACATGATGATAATGTTTTGTTTTTTTTGTAGGCCTTCTTCCTACCTTTCCAGTGTCTTCACGGCTTTTGTGTAGCGATTGGAGGGGGCTTCAACATTAATAGGAAGCTTACAGATCGGAGGAAGTGTAGATATCGGAAGATACGTAGATATTAGAAGAAGCTTGGAGACGGAAAGAAGCTTAGAGATGAAAAGAAACGTAGACATGGAAAGAAACTTAGAAATTGGAAGAAGGTTAGAGATCGGAAGAAGCTCAGGAATTGGAAACACCTGGATTTTGTAGAAATAATATGGATATGTTCCAATGATTGTGTGCAGGCTATTTGGCATTCTATCACAGACCATTTTGTTTTCTGTCTACTATTGTAGATAGCAGCGAATGTGTTTTATATTTGCGTTGCTCAGTATGGAAGCACTGATGGCTAGTGGAAGCTTATGTTTGCTGCACCAATGCTATGCAAGTGGTATACTCCTAGGTCCCATGGAGTGCCATTGGGACATACTCTTTGCACTGTGACAGTTACTCACAATGTGGCATATTTGAGCCGCTTTCATTCATTTTCTACTTGTTGGCAGTATCAGGGGCGTCGGAACCGGTGCGGCAGGTGCGGCCAAAGGCGCACCAATAATTCCATCTTGGATTTTTGAAGCAATGGAATATGGGCTATTCGTCCCCCCCCCCCCCCGGGACCCTCCACCCATTCATAGCCGCACCAATCTCGAATACCTTCCGACACCCCTGAGTATACTGTGTATGACTGGTTTGCTTGGTGGAACTTCTTCTCCCTTTTGCTCATGCAGTTTGAGTCCTTGGAAGCTGGCCACATTTTCAGCGCTGCAGAAGCCAGTCAATGGATGCTGCGCTTACAGACTGCTGTCCGGAAAGCTACCCACAGCTCTAGTGGTTCGACACCTGTTGTCAGTGATCATACTGCTGCAACTCTGCCGTACCCGGGTGATGTTAAGGTGGTGTATCACATACTCAACCTAATGTTGCAGTACGGTACCAGTTTGATGATGTCCAACTTGGAAACTCTGAGTGAAGACTTCATCTCTGTGAGTACTAGACTAGAGTAGTGGTAGAGTAGTGGTAGTATAGTGGTAGTATAGTGGTAGTATAGTGGTAGTATAGTGGTAGTATAGTGGTAGTATAGTGGTAGTATAGTGGTAGTATAGTGGTAGTATAGTGGTAGTATAGTGGTAGTATAGTGGTAGTATAGTGGTAGTATAGTGGTAGTATAGTGGTAGTATAGTGGTAGTATAGTGGTAGTATAGTGGTAGTATAGTGGTAGTATAGTGGTAGTATAATGGTAGTATAATGGTAGTACAGTGGTCCCTCTATAATCCGGCACCATTTGTGCCACGAAAATCTGCTGGATTAGGGAGGGTGCTGGATTAACAAATCTGATTTACTGCTGCAATGTACATGAAGGGGACATTTTGGCTACTGAAAATTGTGCTGGTTTATCGAGGGTGCTGGATTATAAAGTGCCGGATTAGAGAGGGACGACTGTACTAGTGGTAGTATAGTGGTAGTATAGTGGTAGTATAGTGGTAGTATAGTGGTAGTATAGTGGTAGTATAGTGGTAGTATAGTGGTAGTATAGTGGTAGTATAGTGGTAGTATAATGGTAGTACTAGTGGTAGTATAGTGGTAGTATAGTGGTAGTATAGTGGTAGTATTCTGCTGTAGGGCTGCAGTGTACATTGAGCTCTCGGGACTTGTCTATGTGTGAGTGGCCATGTAAACTGGACATGCTGCCTGCGTACAGTACATGTGTGAGTGGCCATGTAAAGACTGACATGCTGCCTGCCTACAGTACATGTATAGTGTAACACATGTAGCCATGCTTTAGTTTGAGCTTGCACACTGATTCAGTTGAAAATAGCTGAACAAGTGAAAAGGACATTTTTCTAATTTTGATCCTTTGCCAAGATCATTCTTCCTATGAATCACGATTATTCTTCTGCGTATCATTACTTTTACCACCCCCAGTGAATGAGTGTTGCTCAATTCTGTGACATCATGATGTAGATTATTTCTCCGTATGGCTTTGTGTTTCTGTGATGACCGTGACCATCGCCAGACTTCACTTGATGTGGCTGATGTCCTGTTCTCTGGAAAACAGAAAGCAGCATGGAAATTGATGGATGTCTCTCATCAGGTAGGTACTTTCATGTACAGTCCCCTTTAGCCTCCCTTCATTCCTTCCCACTTCTCACCCCTGTCACAAATTCCCCAAGGCTTTTACTCTCTGCCGCTACTGCTGATTCTAGAGTGCCAGTGCTACGAGTGGTAGGAGTGCTGTGTGTGTGTGTGTGTGCGTGTGTGTGCGCGTGCGTGCGCGTGTGCGCGCAACGATTATGGTCACGCATGTCTTTCTTCTCTTTCTCATGCTCCTGACTTTTCTTTCATTCTCCTGGGTGGTTACCAACAGCCAGTGCATGCCAGATTATGTGGTGTGATGTGTGTGCGGGAAAAACAATGAAAAAGACCAAAAGTATGGATTCACTGGCCAGAAAAGCCACTTCATATGTGTGTGGTGTAGACCAGGCTGAATAGTGGCGGTCAATTCTTCAGCCTTGCAAGCTGTTGAATGGTGCAATTCCAGCACATGTTGCTACAGCTTCTGCCGTAGCATTGTTATCATCGCCTCCAGCGATGGGCATCAAAAGGTCCAAGGTATGTGTGTGTGTGTTTGTGTGTGTGTGTGTGCGTGTGCGTGTGCGTGCACGAGTGCAGCGGTAACGACAACCGTTAGTGTAATGGTAAACACTTAATGTATTCCTGCACCGATGTACAGGCATGCTGTCATTGCTGCCGGGACCACGGCTATTTTTGTTTTCTTGCTTACCTGTGTCTTACAGAGCACCGTGGCTGGATTGATGGTTCAGCTGGAGAGCTTTTCAATGGCACATGCACTATCGGTAGCAGGTGATGATGCTGGAGTAGCAAGGCAGTCGCATGTCCTTGAAAATATGTGTAAGTACTAAGTCGTGAATGACGCCGTGACCAGCCCACACTCCACTGATATGAACGGGTAGAAGTGTCTTTTTAGCTACCACTTCCTGGCATGTTTCACTGAGCTGAGCTGATGAGGTGCAGTGCTAGTGATAGCGGCACGCCACGCCAGTCTTACATGTACTTCAGTATCTAGGATTGATCGGTGCTACCATCCAGCGTGCCTGGCTCTGGGTGATTACAACACATACAGTGACAGTGGTTAGTATTGTGTTCAGTCCTAAATATGTGTGTACGAGTATGGGCAGGTCACATTGTGTGGGCCGCACTGGTCGAGGCTGATGCACATTGTATGCTTGGCATTGCACCTGTTACTACTGCTCTGTAACACAGCCAATGTGATGTGATGGTAACGGCCAGGCAATCGGATCTGTGCGGCATGACACATAGTGTTGCTGACCATCTTTCTGTTATTGTGTGCTTTATTTAAGAGTGGATGAACCAACAGGCAAATTTGCCTAATTACATGACATTAACTAAAAGTAGAATAAAAGGCTAGCAAGGAAATAATAATGCAGTGAGTAGTGGCACACAGGGGAAAATCTGACGTGATGTATTCTACATTGTAAAGTTTAAGAAAAGGTCTGTCTTTCTTGCGCTCCGCTTTCTGGTGTGTACAGATGTCGAGTATGGAATGATGAGCAATGGCACCAGCACATTTCCCACGTCCAGCATGTCCTCTAACCTGAGTGAATTCTCCATTTCCAGTAATGTTCCCAGCGGTTACGCTGCATTTCTTCAGTTCGATGATGCAGCCGACTTGATGAACGCTCGTGTTGTGAAGAGTGTAGGAGAAATCGCATCCGAATGGTATTTAAACAGCGCTGTGGTAATGGCACGATTTCAAGCTACTGGCAGTGTCCCCACTAGTGGATTCAATGGTACTGTGTCGTTCCAGCTAAGACGTCGCAATACGGCAGCATCCGGCGAGGCGATCTGTGCATTCTGGAATCCACAGCTACAGCAGTGGTCTGACTCTGGATGTAGCATGACTGCTGCCACGGTAACGCATATCACCTGTGTGTGTAATCACATGACCGCGTTTGGTGTGTTGGAGCGTGCAGCGCTGCCTGTCACTCGGCTCACCATGCATGTTCTGGCCACGGCATCGTGTGCAGTGTCGGCCGTTTTGTTCCTCGTCATACTTGCGCTGGTAATTGCGTATCGGAAACGATCACCGGCGATGCTCATTGTGTCCTATTTCGGCATTGCTGCCGGAATGTTCCTACTCGAAGTGGTCTTTGCTGTTGGTTTGTTCTCGTGGGATTTGTCCAGTGTGACTTGTACCAGTGTAGCTGCTATTCTCCAGTACCTCTTGTTGGCTGTTGCCTGCAACGTGTGTCTTCTCTTTCTCCGTGTGACGGTGTGTGGTGCTTGTCCGAATGAAAAAAGCCGTCTTTCGCTTTACAGTCCTGTGTCATTGGTGTTGTTTACGGTTGTGTTTGGCTACATAGCGCCCACGGCCGTGCCAGTCCTGTGCAATGCACTTCTGTATTCCCACGACTTTGGAAATACCTATTTCTGCTGGATATCACGGCATGCCAGCGGTGATTCACTCTGGCTGTTCTATGTACCCCCGGCTGCTCTCTGCACCGTCACGTTTATTCTTGCCATGGGCTTGGCTGGCGCGTCGCGCAATGCAACACACCAAGCCCGCTGGAACACCGTGTGGATGATAGTGTTCTGTTTGGGATTTGGGTGTGCTTTTCTGCTACTACCCTACTTCATGGCGGAGTATCCACAATCAAGGGCACCCGTCGTACTCTTTGCCATTACCAATGTTATCTGGAGTTTTGTGCTCATCCTGTTGCTGGTCCGTATGCATCGACAAAACCGCCGCTACCATGTAAAGAATGACTTTGATGCCAGACCAGCTGTTCAGAAGTACACCTCAGAACCTAAGCAGTCCATTCTGAACCCACCGTCAGCACTGCCGGCTGCTGCACCTCTATCCGAGCAGCATTTTGTTCCCATGCCGCATACCACAAACTCCGGCTCCTCACACAGTCGCCGCAGCCATTCCAGCCACCGCACTCCGCCGCCCGTGTGGTATTTAGTCGAGGGCACTAGCGGTGGCATCACCGCTTCCAAGCATAGTGCGCACACCACCACCGGGTCTGCAGCCAGTAAGTGTATGCAAGCTGTGTTCTAAATGATGTTACCAGTGTTCCAGAAAATGAACCCGTTAGGCCAGAATCCCTGCCATGTAAAATCTGTGATCACTTCATACCTGAACATTTTGAATTGTGTGTCTGCACATCTACTTGCTTATTATGTAGGGGGGAATTGGGACACTTGTCTAGGCAAAGTTCGGAAGAAAATATTCGAAAGTCTCAAACCAGATTGGCCATAGATTATTGGTGGATCATTGATGGCCATAAGCAAGAGCCTCTGATTTGATTCCTGGTGGTAGCAGTTCTTTATACTTTTCCCGCTTCATCTCCCTCGACCTTATGAATACGTCATGTATTGGGGCTCCCTGCTTGCTGGTTTGTACGTGAAGTGCACTGTGTGTGTGTGTTACAGTGAAGTGTGTGGGTTACAGTGAGGGTTGCGTCCCACCAGCCTGTGTGGATGCACATGAAGCGTGAGTTTCGAAGTCTGAAGGAAATGTTCAACGGTCTCTACTGGGATGGCGACTACACAATAGCTTAGTGGTTCAGCATTACTGCCCTATACGGGAGGGTCCCTCGTTCGAATTCTGGTGGTGACTGTCAATCTTCTTCTGACTTTTCTGTTCTGACTTTCCCGTTTCAAAGCCCTCAACCTTTTGGACAGATTGGAATTATTGGAAACATTTGGTGAACCGTACTTTTGAAGCGCATGGCAGTACCTCCAATGCACTTGAATCCCTCCACCCCCAGTATATGTACATTGAAACAGACCCCTGTTCCATTTTGCTGTCGATGAAGAACACCCTGTCTCTAGTTCTGGTTCATAGCTTAGACATCTGTTTTCAGCCGTGCCTCACAAAGTCTTTATCAGAACTGATATGATAGTGGAAGGATGCACCCGCATTTTCCTGAGTATAAGACACAACACTTTTAAAAACGCTCGTAATTCACCGAAAAAAGTCTGCTATTACGATGGTCAAATGAACCGTGAAATACAGGGAAGATGTATGTATTTCATGACAAACAAATCCGGGTGCGGCTTGAACGCTTATACTCCACTGGTGCGCCTTATTGCCTTCTACTCGGGACAATACGGTACGTGCAGTGACAGCTCAAAGCCTTTCCCGTCTGCCGATACTGCTCTAAATAGCAGTTGTTCACGTTTCCAAGACCTTGTTTTGTTACTTTTGTTCCCTTCGTTTTAGGTAGTGCACTTGCAGCAGCAGCAGAGTATGTGTCGCCATACTCTTTACCCCCACCTCCAGCCAGAGTTCCCACACCACCACGTATCTCAGACTTCCCCACCAACCCCCAGGATAAGCAACGGCCAAAGCAGCAACAGCCAAGACGCAACTCTGCACCCAGGCGAAGACAAGAAGGTCGCACTGTTTTCACAACATTGGCAGTTCTGGATGCAAGCACGAGATCCTCACCAGCTCCTACCATGTCGGATATGCCCAAGGTAGCGCTAGTTGTTGTGCTATGCCGTTTTAGGAGCATTTGTGGTTAGTGTGTGTGCATGTGTGTGCGTGTGTGTGTGTGTGTGTATTCGTGTGTTTGTGCGCACATGTACATGCGTGCACCCTGAGTCAAAAGGGGTGCATCAGTGACCGCTCTAGCTTTTCCCAATGACCACCATGCACAACTCAAATGATCCCCCAAACGGGCATGAGGAGCAGTATAGGTGTGTGTATAGTTTTTTTTCTTCTTCAAAGAACACAAGCCTGCTGTAGAGACTTGACACTAAGACATGCAGTATACACGTCACCTGGATATCGTGCTACAAGTACTGACTCAGTGCTGCCTGCTCCGGAGATAGGTCAGCATGGTCAGTGACCCACTCGAGAGGGTGTGTGGACCTGGCTGAGAGGGTATGTGGACCTGGTTGAGAGGGTATGTGGACCTGGCTGAGAGGATATGTGGACCTGGTTAAGGGGTATGTGGACCTGGTTGAGAGGGTATGTGGACCTGGTTGAGAGAGTATGTGGACCTGGTTAAGAGGGTGTGTGTGGACCTGGTTGAGAGGGTGTGTGTGTGGGCCTGGTTGAGAGGTAGTGTGCACATGGTTTAGAGGGTGTGTGTAGGGATGCCAGCGAACGCACTCCGCAGGCCTCTGCGCATGCATTGCGTCATCGATTTTTTGAACGTGATCTCGGCCGACAGAGAAAACATGGCCGCGGTCTGTTTGCACCGCTGGGAGTCGTAAAATTACTGTTCTTCTGTCCCCGCGACCATGCAAATCATACGCGATACGGAGGACCCACGTACTCACCACGTTCTCCCCCGTCGATTTCTCTGAAAGTTTGCACATCGTGAAACACCAGTATGAGAGGTGTTCAGGCCAATTTTCAAGAGATTTCCCTGGTTGGATCGTTCCAAAATCGGACTTGCATTTCTCGCTCGCGGCCATTTCTTGCGCGATGGAAGCGCCCTGCCCTGGTGAGGAAACCAGCATCGCGCTTGGTAGAGAGTTGCTGCAATCAGCTCCCTGATGTCTTCCCTGCCATTGTCAGAAGCGATGGATCATGAATTATTTGTTTGAGAGTCTCTGGATGCTACTATTCCTCAGCCTAGTTTTCAGCCATTCCGTGCATCTTCTTCACACGATTTATTTTGCAAAAAAATGAAAGTGTTCATGAGTTTTCTTGTCGGCCGCGCGTAGATGGGCCAGGCTGACCTGCGCAGATGGGCTGCGCAGTGCGTTCGCTGATATCCCTAGTGTGTGTGGACCTGGGTTTAGAGGGTGTGTGTGGACCTGGTTGAGAGGGTGTGTGCACATGGTTGAAAGAAATCATCCAGGCACACATTGACCTGGTTGAGATTGGATTTCTTTGATCTGTATGGGAGTTTTATTCACCTGAGCTAGTCCGAAACAGGGTGGATGGTCTGGCTCGAAACATGGTACCAGCTACAGCTGTATTCTGCAAAGTATTTTGTAGGTGCGTGACTACTACGTCATGTACTACAATTGGCACATGACTTAATAATAGCCGTCTGGCATGGTACAATAACCTTTTCTTCTTTTATTTTAGTTTTTATTAATGGCTTTTTCTTTTACCTCGAATGGTTTACAATCTGTATCACAATTATTTGTGGGTTCAGCAATAAAGGATGTGACGTGGCTGTAACCGGCTGACCCCCAATCCTAGAGCAGACACCGCTACGCTATGCTGTCCTTTAAGGTACCGTGTTTTCCGGAGTACAAGCCACACGTTCAACACCAGTACGGTAATTTACCCCCAAAAAGTCGATGCGGCTTATACTGCCATGGTCGGATTAACGGTGGTAAATGGCGTAGATGTCTGTTTTTCTTGACAAATCTGGGCGCGGCTTATACTCTTATACTCCAGAAAATAAAATGCGGTACCTACTATTAGTGCATGGTTGTGACACCCTGTGTGTTTGCCCACACCTCTATGTGTGCTGTTTGTCTGGTGTGTTTAGAGTGGAGACAATTCTACACCAGTGGAAGACAAAGATACTACCTTACTTTCTGAGGCTGAAAACGAACCTGATCTCGAGGATGCATGTGCGACGCTGTCTGGATCGGCTGTAGCCCAGCTCGGTATTACGTGTGGTAACCTTCTACAGTCGTCTATCAGTCAAGATGATGGCGAACAGTCCGACAATGGTGGAGCATGTGCTGCTGCACTTGTAGATACAGAGACTGTTCACGCCAGCGCTAATCTTTCACCAGAGCTACCTAGCACAGAGGTCAATGAGGACAGCGAGGAAGAAGTCGTCGAAGAGATCGGCTCTGATCTAACTGATCATGGTACTGCTACTACTCCTGCTGCTACTGCTACTACTCCTGCTGCTGCTGCTGGTGCTGCTGCTGCTGCTGCTGCTGCTGATGGCGATGGAGGAAAGCAAGATGATGAACCAGCATCGGCTTATGTATCTGAAGTATCACAGGGTAGCAGTAGTGTCCGCTACCACGAGAACACTGAGTTTGAGTGGGGAGCTGACAGTGCCACGTCATCAAAGATAAGCGCCTTCTCGCAACCGTCCTTTCTCAAAGACAAGGCAGTGGATGTGAACTCACAAGGTGAAGCTATGGACACAACCAGCAGTGCAAGCTCTTCATCGGATGACGACAGCGACAGTGACTCTGGTGAGTCGAGGAGCAGTGCCTCATCATCATCGACGGCATCATCATTGTCATCTTCACCATCTCACCACAAGCACAAACACGTACCCGTTGCTCGTGTAAGCGTTGATGACATGGAGCCAGTACCGTCCCTGTTACCAGCACAGCCCATGACAAATACAGTCACGATGCCTCCCGCACCACCTAAACTGGAAGATGCAGCTTTGACAGAAGAGGCAATGCCTGAAACTACAACAGGAGAGGAAACATCGCAACCAACTGCACAAGAGCAACACGTACCAGCAGTGTCAGCAGCAGTGCCACAAGCAACTGCAGCGGCAAAGAAACAGTTACTGGAGACGTCTAGCTCTGACGTTTCTGCTAGCACACTAGCTGGTAGTGCAGTGCCGCCTCCACCTCCAAAACGCAGTGTGTTCCCAGTGCAGTTAGTGAATGATGCGAATGTTTTGCGGCAGGACATGTCAGCTCGCTCTGCTGCAACACCGCCACTTCCACCAACTCCACCACCACCGCCACCACCAGCGCACGCAGAACACTATCTATCAAGTCAGGACGATGGTGCATCATTCTATGGTCACAGTGCCCTGCCACCTCCACCTGACTACGTGCCGCCTCCACCAATTCGCTCTGACAGTTCTATTGAAGATATCGACATTAGCGCAGTGCTGCAGCGTACACCCAGTGCAGATGATGTTCTCGGTAATGCTGATGACATGATTGCATCAACGGCTGCTGCTGCAGCGGCTGACGGTGGCACTGATCACGAGTTGTACGTGTCTAGTCCTGGTTGTCGGCCAGAGTATCACGAGAGTAGGAATCGGTTTGTGTCTGAGACAATGGACATACTGTCACCGATACACGAGGCGTCTGAAGGTGGTGGTAGTGTGTCTTCCAGGCAGTGGACCTCTAATCAGAACCTCACTTGAGGTTCATGTGCACGGTCTCACTCTCTCACTCTACCAGGCTCTCTCAATGTCCCACTGCTCTAACAAATGGTCACAATTTGAATTGTAATAACGCAAAGTGCAAATACGATTGTGTGGCTCATGGTTGGGTCGATAATTTAACGTAATACTTCATGGTCTATAATTGTTTGCTTCCACAGAAATCATGTCTTCTGCAGTACCGTACTATCATCAGTGTGCAGGCTGAGTAAAGATAAACACCACATGACACAGACACTGGATGTACAACTCAATCAACTCCTATCATATTGAATTGTTACTGGCACAAGCAGATTATTGGACTGAATATATCCCATTCCTTTGACTCGACATTGTCCCGCTCCGGCTGATTGCACAGTGTTGTGTTCCACTTGATTGTTTCAGTCGATTTATCAATTAAAATTATTATAATAATCATACGTTGAAGTGCATAACTATCATTGCTCAGAATCACCACAAAGGAAGACTTCTAACATCATAAATTTATAAATCACTCTTACAACCGTGTACATGACTTGCACTGACATTGGTGATGGTTGTCTGTAGGTTATCGTGCTAGTATCCAGCTGAACGTCTGGTTGGACTTTTAAATGAGTGCACAAGACTTCAGTCAGTCTTGTTCCAGTGAGCTCCCCCCCCCCCCCCTCCCGCTCCTCACATCCATAGCTTCATACCATAACCATGATAACTTTCCATACATAGCTGTAATGTTGTGATTCCGTATCCCTGAAACATAAAACCATACCGGTAATTGTACAAGTCCTGTAGGCTGTAGGCTGTACATTTGCATGACATGCACTGTCACACTGTACAGTGATGTAAAAAATAATGTACACTGTCAGTTTCGCACAGTACAATCATGATGTCCATTGTCAATGTCAGTGATCATGGTGATGCACACCAGGGAGTCGTAAAATACCGGTATTTTACGACTCCCTGATGCACACTGTACATGACTGTGGACTGTCACCATGGTCACATTCTGTACATGTACCGTAGATCTACGTATAAAGGGGTATCACATAAACCTTGTTTTGTTGAAACATGTTTTTTCCGAACACGGTGGTCTCCGCCTTGTTATACGTGTATGCTGTCAACCAACGACAGGTATAAGGGGTCTTTGGAAAGGAAAGGTGAACAACGGCAAGGCCAACGACAAAAATAATAATTTGCAAATAATCTACGTGGAGATAATAATTTTAATATAGCTATGAATAGGATGAAGGCCGCAGACATGATGACAGACATGACAGACGTGATGTCTGCGGCCTTCATCCTATTCATAGCTATATTAAAATTATTTAATTAGAAAATACCAGAACAATTCAGGCCTATGAATCCTCCTCCCACTCCTCCCACATCCTTTTAGAAACGGTCCCTTTTCTGTCACTTTGCTCAAGGCTCACTTCATTTTAAAAAGATCCTCACAGTCCTCCAGCTAATGAGGCTGTGCTCTTCTTTCTGGCTGACAATGCAATCAGCAGGACTGCAGGCGACAAAATATAGCAAGTGAAGTTTGCACATTCGCGTTACCACCGGCGTGATGAGAACCACAAGGCACAACTGAACCAGAAACTGATAAGAAGTTTCGCTCGTGTCAGGCCACCACCATGCCTGCTTATATGTACCAGGGTGGCGGATGCAGCGCCTAACGGCGAGTATATCTACATGTAGCGGTCTACACACAGCTAAAACGTAAAAGTACAAGGAGAAAGTAACTCGCCATCAGTCATCACACATGCCTGAACAAGACCGACTCAGTCCAACATTTCCATTACCAGTGATTACTGGCATTAGTCCCGGTGGCACAAATGTACAGTACTGTTATACCGAATACGATCGGCGTCTCCGATCGGTGATCATGGTGATAGCCTACCGCGTGAACGCAGTTGTTTTGCTTTGTGTGTTCTTATTTATATCTGCTGATAAGCTAGAGATTGAAGAACAAACTAGTACAGTAAAACCTGTAACTAACGACCACCCCTTGGTGCCCGGAAAAGTGGTCGTTAGTGGCAGGTGGTCTTTAGTTAGAGGTTTGCACCGCGCGACCATATAATGGATCCCATTATATGATATGTATGTCAAAATGCAGATAATACAATCCCCCACCACTTGCGCACTGACATTCTTCTTTCAGATCATACAACACTTGGAGAGAGAGAAAATCAAGTTTTTTATACACCGGAAGCGAGACGACCTTTTGACACGTATGTCGACTCACTGGGTTTCCAGAGCAGCGCTGGCCTGGCCAGGCAGTGGACTAGTCAAGTCACTCCATCCTCATCTGTAGCTGTGTGCGACTACACTGGCAACTGGTATCAGTGTGTAGATCTACAGACTCAGTGGAAACTCAGTCGTTCCGCGACTTGGATGTAGCGAAAACTGTACTACTGGTGTGTACCAGTACGTAATGCGGCGATGTTGCGAGTTTTCGCACCTTCACTGTAGACTATTATCCGCCATCGTATCCTGGCCTGTGTTCCGTACAGGTGAGTACCGTAGCATGCGAGCTAGCCAGCACAGACTGTCAGTGAGTGCGTTCGATTATGCACGCGAATCGATTCACGAATCGATTCATGAATCGATTCGCGCTATTCACATCACCCCATGTGAATAGAGTGAATGGATTCCGAATCGATTCCAGGGCTTCTGACATGAAATCGAACGACTTGAATGCATGCGAATGGATTCATGAATCGATTCAAGTGTGTAATCGAACGCACTCAGTGTGACCTGGTGACTGAGCTGTGTGATTGCACTTCGACAGAGAGCCGCTCAGTCTTAGTTTCTCCTTCGAGTAGTAACAATTACATCGATCAAAGAGCGCTTTGGATGCGCTCTCCAAGACGTTTCCTATTATTCCGTTTCTCCCCGGAACCGGGATTATCCACACACAAAGATCTCCAGGACACAATGTTTACACTGACTCATGATCTGAAAACAGTCACAACTCTCCAAGAACTAAAACCTGAACATCTCCACAACTAGGCTAAAACCAACTCTGGCCTAACAAAAGATAGCAATAGCTAATAACAGTGCACGCACATACATGGTATAGAAAGACCCTATGGCAACACTCGACCATGTAATGTGATACAACAATAGAATGCAGACGTCTAGACACCAGAGTACTGAATAGACCTGACACATGGCCTTCTTGCTGGGAATGCATGAATAGAAGCACACATGGATCATAGCTCTAACACATTCGCCTACCCATATCACGCATGAATGATTGTACTCTAACAGCCAGCATGCTGCACCAGTCTAACTGCAACATTCTCCCCCTCTCACACGAGGAGTTCCGAGGGTGAAACAAAACAAGAAACCAAAAAGGCAACCCCCTCAGAGCCAACAAAAAACAAAAGATGAACGATGTGCTCTACAAACATACGTGTAGCTAAATATGCAAAGACTAAACATATGAAAGTGACCAATCACACCACAGTACTAGAGTATTCTGACCGAGTCAATAATGAATATGTCTCTCATTCGCCGTCTGCAGTCAACGGCACTAATCGCTGAATGGCACGTCGCTTCACCTTCTTGTTGCTCAGCCGTACGTCCACAACTCTCACCAGGCCATCCTGACCCGGATGTACTCCCACCACTCTTCCAAGCGGCCAATGACCACGAGATATGCCATCTTCCATAACCAGCACCAGATCGTCTGCCTTCAGATTCGGCTTCTGTTGGAGCCACTTCTTCCGCATGTTGTAGGTCACGACAAGCTCTTTCTGCCAACGCCTCCACACATGGTCAACTTGCAATTGAAGAGCCATCCAGCGTCTACGAGGGTGAACATTCTTCTCTCGGCAGGCGGCCTCCTCCAGAGCTAAGGGAAGATCCAAGCGTCCAACAATGAAGTGATTAGGAGTCAGTGGAGTCATGTCACTGGGGTCGTCTGAAATGGCTGTTAATGGCCGGCTATTCAACAAGCTCTCAGCCTCCACAATTGCCGTCATCAGTTCCTCGTCCCGTAGATTGGCCCGAGACAAGACTAAGACAAGTGCTTTCTTGGCGCACTTGACCATACTCTCAAAGACGCCTCCATGGTGCGGCGCTCTCGGGGGATTGAACCTCCACTGAATACCCCGATGGACTCCATCGCGACAAATCTTCGCCCGGTCGAGTGCCTCCACCGCTTCACGCAGCTCCCGTTCAGCGGCGACAAAGTTGGTGCCGTTATCGGACAGCATCAACGATGGAACTCCTCTGCGCTTGGTGAACCGGGAAAACGACATCAAGAAGGACTCTGTGTCCAGCCCGAATGACATTTCGAGATGGCAGGCCCGAGTTTCAAGACACGTGAACACACAGAGGTAACGTTTCTGCTGCGCTCTCCCTCGTCCTTGACTGGTATAGAACGGTCCGGCGTAATCGACTCCGCACTGCGAGAATGGCTGCTTGGTTCCAAGTGTTCGGTAACTCGGCAGTGGTCCCATGAGTTGTTGCGCTGGTTTTGCCACTATTCTCTGGCACTTCAGACACGCTCTCTTCATAGCCTTCACGACTGACAGTCCGTGGACAATCCAGAATCGCTCTCTCAGGATAGAAAGTAGCTGATGCGACCCGGCGACATGTCCGCACTTCTCATCCTGGTGGCGAACAATAAGCTGCGTGACAGGATGTTTGCTAGGCAGAACCATAGGTCTCCGCATACTGGCCGGTAGGTGTTCCGCATACTTCAGTCGTCCACAAAGTACCAGGACCGGTGGTTTTGCTGATGTATCTACACCGGGGCTTAACTTGTAGAGTGGGTCAGATGGAGGTAGCTCTCTTCCGGCCATCAATATCCTGCAAGACTCTGGGTATGCCTCTTGTTGTCCCTGAGCGATCCAGAACCGCTCAGCATGCTCGATCTCAGCTGCGATCAACTCTGGCACCTTGACGATCTTATGTCTGCGGGCACTAGGGTTAGCCTTCGCTCCTGGGGCGTTAGCACAGACGACCTCCGTGGGAGCCGAACTAGCATCCTGAGAATGCCCCCTCATGACTCTTGCATCTGCTGTCAGCTTAGCGTTGCTCACAAAACGCCAGCACCATGATGTGACGCGAATCAGACGTGTCCAACGCGAGTACCTCTCAACATCCAGACGACCCTTGTCCGGCTCTACCGCTGTGAATGCCAGCTCGATCGTCTTCTTCACCTGGCCCGGAAGCTGCGGTTTGTTGGTCAACTCAGTCTGCGGCCAGGACTCCTTGGTGTTGCGGAGAAATGCAGGCCCTTGCCACCAGCACTCGTTACCGGGTAGATCCTCGGCCTTCACCCCCCGAGTTGGCAAGTCTGCTGGGTTGATCTTTCCAGGCACGTGCCTCCACTGCGTCGGCTTTGTCGACTCCTGTATTGCCGCTATTCGATTAGCGACGTCTGAAGTAAAGTTCTTAGCCGGACTCCTCACCCAGTGTACGACGTTCATCGAATCAGTCCAGAAGTTGTGTTCGGACATGGGGATGTGGAGGGCCTCACTGATGGCGGCACTTACTTGCACACCCAGCACTGCACCGC